AAAATATTAATGAAGTGCAGCATCTACAGTGTAATAATCAGACATCATTAGCAAATCATACATAATCAAAAGTTTCTGAGAAATATCTTTAAAATTGAAAAATCTATTACCAAACATACTTTGAATTTCACTAATTCTTTCAAATGTCTTTAAGATTCATTTATTATAAATTAATATCTATTTTCATTTTATTCAAACATATTGATCAATAATATTTTCTATAAGATCTATTGTAAGAAATTTTACAAATATATATTTTGAAATATTGTGCTTATCAATAGATTTAATTAATAATTTAGTATAATAATTCATTGGGGTTTAGTGTATCATCAATAAAATAAAGTTATCAATTATTAATGGTTTGAAATTGGATTAAAAAGTGCATATTTCACTTAGATTCCATTAATCTATTACTATAATCCCAATTTGTCTCCATTCCCTTTTTCCAATTTACATATAATGTTTAAAAAGTTGTTATTTGCTAAAAATATTTTTTGCCCATTTACAAACTTTTTATCCTACTTAATACCATTTTATTACAGTTCTACTCTTTAAAGATATTCTTTCAATATAACATTTCATTAAAAGTATTTAATAATATTGAGCATATAAAATAAATTCTAACAGCAGTATGGGGTCGAAAATTTTTTTGTCTGATTAATCATCTCTTTCATGTATATTTTAACTCTTCTTAATTTGAGAAACTAATCAATGATAAAGATTTTTTTTTAATTTTATTTTTCAAAGTCTTGGAGAAATAAAACTAAAAAGTTTCTGACGAAAAGGTTGATTTACTAAGAATATCAATCATGCCTAATCAATTTTCTCAGGTTCCCATATTTACGTTTTCAAACACTTCTTTTATTAAAATGCTCAAATATACCCATTTTATATAATTACTAACAAAATCAAGAAAATCTAAAATAGACTTATAATTAAAAATTATCATATCTAATATGAAATTTGGAATATTCAATATATATTAAGGAATGGATTTGTCAATCTAAAAGTAATTAATCCAGTCAAATTATAAAATTTGGAGGATGTAAGGCGATTAATTTTACATAAAATATAGTTTTCATCTAGAAGTTCAACAAACTTCCGACATCCAAAACTCAATTTAAATATTTCCATTAAGCATTTACTAAAATTTGATATAGTTTAAAGATGAGATTGGAATTTATATGAGTATATTATTTTTTAAGATAAACTTAGAAGTTAAAGTATAGATGAACTTTTCTATTAGGGTTACAAGCCTTTGAGAAGTCTACACTAAAATCTTTTCCTGGAGATTACTTATATCAGAAATAATATAATTTACCTTAATATGAGATAAATCAGATATTTTAAGGAATCAGTAATTTCAATGTTTGTAAATTTTTCCAAGGGCTTGAACTATCATTTTGAGAGAAGTCGAATAGATTTGCAAAATTTAAATTATAAATTCAAATAGAGTCATCCTTGATGGGATCGTATAAAATATCAATATTGCTTTAATTGAAACATAAAAGTTATAAAATTTAAATTATTGCATAATGTACTCTAATTATAAAATCATAACTTCTTTAACTATAAATATTTTATTTTATTCTTTTGTTCCATTATTTGATTATTTGTTTATATTAGATTATAAAAATATTTATATAGTGCTTACTATATGTGTTATTCATATGAATTGCCTTTAAATTTAGTTAGTTTTTTATACTTCTTTTTTAGTTTAATTGAAATATAATTATAGTCTTATACAATTATTAATATAAAGAGACTCTGAGGAATCATTTGAAATATATTGTAATTACTACAGAAATTTCAATTTCATAATAAGTAATGCCTTAGATGCTTCTATAAGCTATTTAAATACCGATTAATTGGTACCCAGGTCGTCCATAAAATTCCAAAATTTAGAATTTTAGCCAATTACCTCTAATAGTACTCATTATGATGGTTACAGAAAGTCATAAGAGCTTTTCTTCAATTGATTGCAATGAAATCTTAAAAATTGCTAGTAATGCTTTTATTTTTTTGATTGTCAATGCTCGAAATGAATACCTTGACATTATTAAAAAATAGTCATCTAATTTATAGAGTCTATAAATCTAACTAAATTATTTTATTTTGGTGACTTTATTTACTTCAAATCCTAAAGAATTTATGACTCTATTGATTCCCCAAAAATATCAAGCCATCTGACTGATTATTTTTAGAAAATGGTATCTATTCTTAATGATAATATCTTATCCTTTCCTTCTGTTTTTTATATCTATAATATTTATTGTAATCAATTATATGATTATTGTTCAATTTAAACCTCAATATAGGTAGAGCAAAGTACAATAAAAATTGCCGTTCTAATATAAATAATCCGTTTAAATTTAACTAATGTGAGGATATAATTTCAAGGTTTTGCTTTCTCCAAATAATTAGTTAAAATTAAATTAAAAAATTTCAGAGTCACATAGAAATTAATAAAATAGAAGTGATCTCTAACTGCTTCGTTATTCTTGGTGAGATTTGATTTTTAATAAATAACAGTACACTAGTCTACTAGCTCTCCTTAAAATCGAATATTTTTAAGAAATATAACATTACATGTCAATTCATAAGGTAATTCAATTGAATTTTAGATATTTTCCTAAAAATCCCAAAAATTAAAAATTATTATGTGAATATTAGTAATGTAGATTTATGTCAAAGAATCTGGTCCTAATTCAATTTATTAATTAGAAAAGTTCAATTCCATGTAATTTGACAATTGAGGATGGAATTATAATTCTAAAAATTTGAATAAAGAGTTCAGTAAGTTGATTGATCTATATCTTGGAAGGAAGAAAACCCTTATTGTAAAGAAGTTAGTCTAGTATATAGATTCTAAAGTTAAATTTTTTTTTTTAAATATATATGCAAAGAATTTTTGGATTGAATGAGGTTATAGCAAGCTAGTTAACACAAATATTTATGTGAAATTATATTATAAATTAAAGCGTTAATTGAATAAAAGTATATGGGATTATTTTATATTAAAATTGATCCTATATTTTAGAAGAATTACTCTACAAACTATTAATAAGATGGATTCTTGCCATTAGACCTAAACTCATAAAAAAATAATTTAATAATAATTTAAGCATTCAATAAATTTTTACAACATGATTAAATGTTTCATAGCATTGGTACCTAAATCTTATGAATGATAAATATATTCGAATATTAATATCAAGAAACTTCAGGAAGAATTAATTTTTATTGGTACATCCCAAAGTAATGCATCACTTCTTAGAAATAAATTACTTAAACAGATTATAATAAATTAAAAAGGGCTTCATAGAAATATAGCGATTTTTAATCCTAAACAAATTTATTCAAAACTTAACCTGCTAAATATTCAGAAGTTAAAGTTTAAGCAGAATTTTTTGGTTCAATTTCAAATAGAGAGTATGAATGGATGTTCATAACAAGCCATATATTGATGGAAAAGGCTAGTGATATAAGAGCATGTTCTTCTGTATTAACTCATTAAAAATTGTTCAAATTATTTCAATAGTTGCACAGTTACAAGAATTTGTAGTTGCAATACTAGCTATATATAATACTTTTTTATCATCTTAACACAGCGCAAATGACTAATGGAGGAAATTATTTCTATATTAGAAATAAGAATTTGAAATAAGTTTTTCATTTATATTTTAAAAAACAAGCTGTTTTTAGGGATTAATGCTAATATTGTTCCTGTCCACAAATGTCCTGTTTTTGCTAATAGTACTTATACAGAATAATAATTGATTATTTTTTGTCCCCTAAGAGTATAGTTATTTGTTAATTTTTGGGTTAGAATTTGGATAGAATTTAAAGTTTATTTTATTACATCAGCAACATATCCAAGATAAATCTTTATCCTTATACTTTATTCAATTTTAATTATTAAGATTGTAATATTACAATAGAATTTATAGTTTTAATTAATAAGAATATGTACTTTTGATTGTGAATATGATACATACCGAAAATAATTCTAATTTGATGTATAAATATAATTAGTATTATCTTGATTTATAATTTTATCAATTGTAAAGTGAGGAAGAAAAAATGAAATTATCACATGAAGATATTTTTGATACTAAATAATTTGCCTCTTACTTTTAACACTTTGAAGTTGATAGATAAGGAAAAATTCAAGGGTAATATTGAATATAATAAAAGAATCCATTAAGTATTTAAGGTGGAGCATATATTTATATTTGAAAATGAAATAGAAAAATGTTCCAGTTCAGGTCAAATACAAGATTTATATAAAGTTCTTAACGAATTGCAAGAAAATAAAGGATTCACTAAAAAAATAACCATATAAATTAGAAAATATATGAACTCATAATAGCTATACAAACAACAGCTTTAAATATTAAATTTTAAAGCCAAGTATCTAATAGAAATCAATAATTATATTATAAAGATAATTAAAAAAAATTATTCTTTAATTTGAGAAATGATATTCATTATATTTAATCAAGATATGAGATAAGAATATGGATATAAAATTTATTTGAGAAATGAAGACTTCTTTTTTTGTCCATTTAGTTATATATCAATTCCTCCTGAATTCAAAACTTTTATCCTAAAATTAAAGTTTCAAACTTAAAAAATGACTGATAATTCAAATAATAAATAGTTATTTTTATTATATCATGGATTAATTTGCTTATAATTCTATTGAAACTTAAATTGAAGAAAATAAAATAAATATTTAAGCTAAAATTATTGTATTAATATAAATACTTAATTAATACAAAACCAATAAGAAAACTCAATTTTATAGATAGAATATTGATCATTATTATCATATTATTATATGAATTTTTCTATATTGAATTTATACTATTCTAATTTTAAATTCTCTTCAATTAAATGTATTTCTTAATTCAGTTCGCTAGATTAAGATTTCGAAATTTTTTCTGTTTAACTAATAATTAGAAATAATAATGATTTTTTATGTATAATTTATATTATCATGCTACTTTTTCTAGTTTGAATAACAGTTTTTCATATTCATTAGATAATTTAATAACTTAGGTTGCGGATAATGAAACTGAGGTCTTAGAAATTTTTATATAATTTTATGAATTCTAATTTAACAAAAACTTTGCTAATAATCTAACAGTATGAATTTTATTGATATCACATTTGATGTTAGTTTAAGTACACCATTATTCTGGACAAAATATTTATATCTTTAAAAGCTCCTTATCTATACATTACCAATAGAAAATAATCGATATAGATTCAATTGTTTATGCAATAACGATTTCCTCTGATAAAATTTGATTTTAAGAGTAGCTTATCTCCTTAATTTCAATATGAGTATCTATTTCATTATTTGGATCAAGAAATCTCGATTACATCAAGCCGTTAAATTTAGCAAGTTCAAAAAAAGCATGATTAATGCAATAATGATTATATTGCATTGATTAAATATAAGTGGATGACCCTATAATATTTATAATTAATTACAAGGGTAAATTCCAGCAGTAACTTAAGAAGAATATGTTATATTTGTGAAAAATCTAACATTTTCAGATCCATCATGTTGAAAACCTAAAAGATTTGCAAAACAATTTTATATAGTCCATCCTGTAGGAAAATTTACAACTTAGTTTGATCCTTAAGGTTAAATGCTGATTATAGTGGGGCCAATTAAGAAAATGTCCGAACTACTCAATAATATTTGATATCCAAATTGTTAAATACCTTAGAATTAAAAGCTTATAGTCACAGATTCGGATGTCAAAATTAATCCCTAATTAATATATTTTTATACCGTTTAATAATTATATTATGAACTTAAAGCATAATAACTTATAAAATTAGATAGGGCCACATTTATTTAGCAATTTTTTTAGTAAAAATGAGTGTACTAATTTTAGGGGTTGGTTATCATAAAATTATTTATGATTTAGACTCTCTCATCATTAAATGCAAACCAATTAAAATTAACAGCATAAAATATGTGCGTACTCTCGCATACTATTTTCACTTTAAAACCTATTATTTAAGTTAATACATAGTACCATTTGTGCCAACACTATGTAGATCTAATGAATATCCTTGAGGAAATGTATATTCAAAATCAAGTGTCTCAACATTTAAGTAAACGTTTGGAACTTAGGTGAATTACTTTTAAAAAGGAATATAAATTTCTTCTTGTCTGAATTAGGTTGAACTCAAAAATAAAATCAAATTTGGATTTTAAACGTAGTTGAAATGATTAACAAATCCTTATTCAAATTTATGAACTGCCAATATGGAAGTAATGTATAATAAGATTTAATACATATATATTAATATTAAAAATTAAAGAATAATCAAACTTTTTTTTCTATAAAAAGCATTTTTTTTGTTATGTAATTAAGAATTTTTGATTTTTTTTTATAAGGCTATTTAAACTTTAAGGATTAAGGCTGTGAATTATGTAGAGCTTGAAAAAATTATATTCAAATTCTTTAGAGTTGCTGTTGATCTTTGCATACAGACAAACTTTTCATATTTATTTATCAATCTCATTCGATTTCAGGCGTTCAGTTTTTACCATTTTAGTCTCAAGAAATATTGAGTGTCTCTAAGTTAGTTAAGTGAATTCCTTTTTTCATTTCCTTAAAAGAATCAAAATATAGTTAGGAGAACAAATTACGATAAGATAAGACTGTTCCTTGTTTTCCTTATGTATAAACGATTAAATCCATAAGGCTGATTCTGAGGTTTATAGGAAACATAAAAATTTGATGACCTTTATTGCTTTCAAGTTATAAAAAAAAGTTAAATATGTTCCTCATCTAATTCTAAATTCCTCATAAGAATTTTAAGTATTTTCAGACAACTCCTTTTTTGTACATCCACTATTTAAATCAATGAATAATTCTTCATATATTCATTCATTTTTGATCAGCTATTCCGAATTCTTCCCTCAAAAATTTTTTGCAATAAACGGTATTATCTATAGATTCCAGAATATTTTCAATTTTTTGTAATACTATGATTATAATGAATAAAAATTTCTTAATTTATTTTTTCTTACATTTAGCAATATTATAAATATCAAAAAATATTAATTTAAATTTTGATAATTTTTATATTCATTTATTTTATGTTATTAAAATCCATTTCAAATATTACAAATTTTTATTTGAATTATTAAAAATTTAATCAAAAATGGCTCATTAGACATTAAAAAAAGCATAAAAGAGATATTTTTATTTCATAAAGACTAATTGATGATATTTTAAGGTCTATTTTAGTTTTGCCTATTTTGTTCTTTCATAATTTCGTAATATCATCATAATTTTTGATACTTATAATTTATTAATGAAAAAGTAAGTACTACTCTTTAGTGTTGCCATATTTAATTTTTTCTATAAGCTATTCGAATATTAATGAAAACCATACAATTATCGATATTATTCTGTTCTCTTTCAATAACTGAAATAAATAGAGTTTATAATCTAAAAATTACCTCTTTTATCATAATTTTATGAAGAACCTTACTGATTTAAACCGTTCAATTTATTTGTCTAATTTCATTTTGAAATATGTTTTAAACTCTTCTCAATCGTTTGAAAACTGAATTATAAAATGAGTGCTTTGAATACAGAATTAAATTAATTATATATTTCTCTCTAAATTTGCATAAAACCTTTTTAATTAGATAGCAATAATACTATAAACATATGTTTGATAATAAATCAGCGGAAAGTATTGATATATTTAATAGGTTGATATTAACCTACCTTAAATTTTAGTTGATGGGTTTCTTTTAATTTAAAATTTGCTTTAGGTAATTAGATAATTATATAAATGCATTACAGCTCATTAATCAAATCCAATTTCAAACTTCAGGCTAGATTTTGTAATTTGAGTATATAAAAATAGAATTTTGATTATTATGATTAGTTTTATTAACATGAATAGAAAGTAATAGAAGAAAGTTTAATAGATAAAATTATTATTGATTTTTTGTTGAATATGTCATCGAAGCTCTTTTAATTATTAACTATGCTTCTTATTTTTAATATTTAAAAAATTGCCAATTAGCAATGTTTGGTAAGTAAAGCAAAAATTAGATCAATAATTAGAGGTCATTAAATAGATGTAGTCAACTAAAAAAAAGGTGCTTTGATTTCATCAAAAAAATAGAATGGCTTTTTAGGAGGTAATAATGGAAGCTGCCTTAGAGATACTATTTACACATTAACTGGATATACCTCAAGTTCATTAGGATAATCAGTAAAATTAGAATTATTGCAAAATTATGAATTAAATACAATAAAAATATGGTTTTGGGATGGAGATAATAGATTTTACAGAATTTAGGTTTACATAATTTATGAAAATTCAGAAACATAGATTTATGATAATTTTGCAAAAAGTATATTTACAATAAAGTTTCCAACTCGGTGAAAGGTTTCAGGATACTTAATGTTTCAGGTAATACTTACAATTTTTCCTTACATCTTTTAAAGATATAAACTTACTATAAATTATGAATATATTATAATGAATTATAAAAGAAAATATACTATTCATTAATTAACTTTTTTTTGGTTTCTAAATTCTCATTAATCAGGTTAAATGTTTCTTATATATCTATGTAATATCAAAACATTTAATCATTTGAAATTTGTTTAAAAATGAGAAATTAAAGTTATCTTAATTAAAAATAAATCAACTAAATCAATTATATATTTGACAAGTTAACTATTGTAAAGCTGATTAATTTTGCAAATGTATGGTATTTCAATCTAAGAATATTTTAGATTGCCATTATAAAATGCAATCTGAAATATAAGGATAGAATATTATTCACTTAAATAGTATTTATTAATCGGAATCGAATCCAATTGATGGTTGTTCCAAAATTTTATAAGATTTTAACAATTTTTATTTTGCACTAATTATATATGCTTTAAATTTAATATTATGTGCAACAAGATATAGGATAAAAAATCATGTCTTACGAACAACAACTATATTCTAAATGATGGTTGTTATCATTGCAGATCATTAATATAGCAAGGATCCAAAATTAAAAAAGAAAGTATAATAATGAACTGTTAATTAAATGAAGCTTTCATTTATCAATTATGATTGTGTTATTTAAGTGTAATATAATATTTAATACTCATAATGAAAAGTATGATGATGGATTTATTAATTGGGGAATTGCTGTTTGGCTTATTGCAGAACTCATATAAGGCGACATTCCATTTATAAGAAAGAATTCGTAACAATCCAAGCAAACTAATATTATAAATATGTGAACTTCTAAATATTCTCATGATTTTAGGTAAGGATATTCAAGACACACTTTTATTGAAGATCTAAGGTTTGATCTGACCTAAATAACCTTCAGAACTTTTACTTAAAAACAATTAATCTTGTAATTTTCATTTGCTCATATCTTTGCGGTTAGTTTGTTGAGAAGAGAGTTTTGTGTTTTCTTCTAAATGAATACACTTTATGGAGATTACGTTATTTAATTAACGATCTCCAGTAAAATTCTAGCAGCCAAAATCGTTTGTTAATTTAAATCCAAAACCAAAATTAGGAGCCTAATCAAGATGAATACTAGAATAAAAATTAGTCCAAAATTCAAACAAAAATGAAAAGAAAAAATTGAATAATATTAAATTTTAAATTACTGCAGTAACAAGAATATTTTTAAATAAAAATAAACTTAAATGAAATAAACTTTTTTCAAAAATTTGTTTCTTATGGATTTAGGAGGAATCATATAATTAATCCTTTCCTGTTTTGCCCAGTCTCTCTCAAGAATTGATGGTGTCAACAACTTATATCTGGCCTGAAGCTCTCTAGAAAACTAAGGACTTGAATATAAACTCAATGTCAAGGCTTTTTGCTTGATGTAGCGAGTTTTAATTCTTTCATATAATTTTGATATTATCAGAATCATTTTAATAAAAATAGGTAATTTATAAAAATCTTTTACTCCCAACAAGCAAGTAATTTTGGAAATCTATATAATTTGGATGAATTATTTTATTTGAATATACTTTTCGACCATATACTAATTATAAGTAAATATGCCATATATTTTCATAACTTTATAATTGAGATTAATTGGTATCTTCATTTGAGTTTACAAAACCAAGTGTTATAGATAGGGGAATCATTCAAATTACATAATTTATTTAATGTGAAAGTTGAGGTTAGTTGGAATTATAAAAAATGAATATTTCAATTCATTTGAAGTTGGATTAACATTTATTGTTGATTTTTCATATTTAATAAAAAATATGCTAATTATTGAAATTCTTGTCAAGATTTAAAGCAGAATGATATAAATCTTTTGATCTTTAATATCAAAAGATAGAGTATTGTAAAATCAATTAAAGTTTTCATTTAAGATAGATGTTAAAATAACAATCTATTCTTCTCTTGATTAAAGCTAGAGTAGATAAGAAAGGAAAATAAATTGTAAAATTCTCTATAAATTCTGATTTACTATTACATTAAAACTATAATATAATAGTCATTTAATTAATTTAATTAATAGAAATAAACCTGTAACAATCTAATCATAAACATAAAAAGCTTTGAAACCTTTTAAATTATTTGTGAAATAACGAGATTATCATAACTCTCAAAATTTTGTTACTTTGGGTAATATACAAATTTAAAAACTTTAAAATTAAAGTTTAATAAAACATAATATTTCAACAATATCTGCTCTTTTATGAATAATTTTATTTAATTGCTACATATTCATTTTCTTATAGGCTTCTTTGATTCCTTTTTTCAAGGCAAGTCATGCATAAAAAATCAAAAGCTACCTAACAGTTTTTACTAGTTTTTGCTGAGGTCTAAATATAATTCATTCCTAAATTTTATGCATAAGATTAGGCTACATCGACTGAAATTTTTCTTTGCTATTCTAGGTCTGATTTACATCCTATAAGTAATAAATATATATCTGTATTATTAATTGTTTCTTCTAGTGCAACTTAATTTATTTATAGTTATACTTTTGAGCCAAGTCTGAACTCTCTTAAATGAATCTTCATCTGTAATATCAAAAGCTAAGAAAACACCATGAGTACCCCTATAGTATAGTTTAGAAAGTGAATTATATATCTCTTATCCAGCAGTATCATAACATTCTAATTTAACAGATTAATTGTTTATTTATAAATTTTTTTCAAAATACTCCATTCCTAATGTTACCATTTAATTTTGTTAAAATCTATCATAAAATATTCTTTTTAGCAATGATGTCTATATTATATTTAATTATTTATACTTTTCCTGCCCCTTTTGGCCCTAATGTAATAATTTTAATTTTTTGTTTCTTATCAATTGTTTTAATGGACATAATTTTATTTAATTTATAATATAAATTGAACCAACAATTCTATTAAGTTTTAGAAAGTAAGCAAAATAAGATTTTACCAGAATTTCACATTTTTTAAATATATACATATACATCCCAAAGTAATCAAAAAAGATTGATTGTTTTTAGCTTTTATTAAATAGTGGATTTAAAGAAAATAACAATAAGATTGTAAAATTATTTAAGTTACTTCAAATATATAAGTTACTAAGGGTTTAATTTTCCTTTATTTAATATTACTGGAATTATATATATATATATATATAATTTATATTTAATTAAAGATTATTTGATATAATGTTAAAACTATAATATAATCTAGGTTCTATCTTATTTTATGAATAACAAAATTGAAATTTTTAAATTTGAAAGTTTTGCAATTAAAATTACACAGGTGATTTAGAAATTGCTGATACTCCAATTTTTAGAATAAAATGTTCTTTTATATGATGCTCTTTTGAGTAATTATCAAAAAATTTATAAGTTAAGAATTTAATTTATGGAGAAGTAATTGTAAATTATTAGAATTCAACTATTGTTAGCACTTGTAAATCCTTGAACATATCAGTATTTTGAGATTGAAATCTAAAGTAATCTAATGGATCAATAATTAAATCAATAAAAGCAAAAACCTAAGGAATTAAATTATGAATTGGCAATACAAGAAATTAGCAATAATAGTATTAACAATAGCTTTTAACATAAGTAATCTATTACTAGTTACACAAAAGGATGTGTATTTGTTATATATTCATTTTCAAAAGAAAAAAAATAACTTATTCTTGTAATTCAGATATACTTCTTTAGTAATAATCAATAGTGATAATAAAGTAATTTCTATATTGTTATTTTATTTTCTCTAGATGGATACTTTGATAATCAATATGATCATTGATTCATAACTCATTAGTAACATGTATTTGAACATATTAAATTTTTTTTTTAATATTAAATTTATTTAAATTAAATATTAAGTTTAAATAAATAGCTTTAAAAATATTTAAGAAATAGATAAATAAATATATATATGTAACTCTAAATAATAGAAGTTTATTAAAGTTAATAAATTTTTTAAACTATATATAGTCTTATATTGTATAATCTAACAAAAATCTCTCAGATTATAAAATAATAGATTAAACTTTTTTCTTATATTAAATAAGTTGAATACTTAATTATTTACTTCTTCCCTTCTTTTTGTTTGCCCTAAACTTATTAAATACTTTAAAATAATAGGCTTATTGTATTAATATATTGAAATATTAATGAGATTAAATAATGAAAATTAATCTATATTAATATTTTATCCTATAATTAAGAACAATTAATAAAAGGAAATTTGATTGATTAAATCAGATAGAAAACAAAAAATTGATTTCATTATTTAAGAAACATAAATGATTTAAGATACCACTGAATTAGAATGTATTTATAAACACAAAGATTGTTCTGTTCTTTTAGTGCTTGATAATTAAAAATAAAAGTTAAAAGAGTAATTGATATGCACAGATTGTTTAGAGGAACAAAAAGGAAGCTAAAATATCAATTTAAATGATGACTTAGTAAGAATATACCTTAATCTTTTAGGAAAAACTTAATAAATAAATTAATACTGTAAGAAAATAAAACAGTTATGAAATTGATTAATTTACTAGATATCTTTATAAACTTAAGGAAAATTTGGTGAAAGTTATTGACATAATTATTACAAATTCACATTAATAGAAGGTTGAATTAAATAAATATAATGAGAATTTATTAGATGAAGAATAAATATATTTAGAAGTAGAAAGAATAAATAAAACAAATCAGTGTTATTTAAATAAATTAGAAAGTTCTGTGGCTATCATAAAATAAATAGTAAATATTGTAGAGAAAGAAACAGACAATTTAAAGAAAGTTCTAGGAGAAGGCTAATATTATGAAGAATTATATGTTTAGCCTATAAAAAAAATACAAGTAAATTCTTTGCAATGTCAAAATGACTCTTTTAATGAATAACATATACCTTAGGGAGAAATATCTTATAGGTAAATTTAGGAAGTACCTTAAGAAAAATGGTGTTTTGCACTTGCATTCAATAAGGAAGGCTCAATTATGGCTGGAGCAGCTAAGAAAGATGTAAAAATATGGAATTTAAAAAATGGATAATTATAAGATTCAGGAATTACTTTGAAAGGACATCAATTAGATGTTACTTGTATAGTTTTTAGTAAGAATATTAATTGGTTTATTACTGGAAGTATAGATTGCAGAATTATTGGATGGAGAGAAATCAGTAGTTCTAAGTAATGGGAATCTTTATAACCTTGTGAAGCTCAATCAATTGTGTGGTGCTTATTATTAAATTAAAATGAAGATAAAATTCTTTCTGGTCATTCTAATGGGTCAATTAAGTTTTGGAATTTGAATACAGATAAGAATAAGTTAATGTTTCATTATTAACTTAATAAACATAGTAAACATATTGGTTAAATGAGTATGAATGAAGATGAAACTTAATTAGTTTCATGTAGTGATGATAAAACAATTATAGTTTGGGAAAAAAAAGCAAATGAAAGAAGATTTAAATTTAAATAAGTTTTAGAAAACTTAAAAAATGATAATGGATTTAGAGTTTGTTTTTTAAATTAAGATACTATTGCTTGGTGTCAAGAAAATTAGGGATCTATTCATATTTACAAATAATAAACAGAAGGTTTTGTTGAAAAAACAGATTTGTAAATAAACTTGAAGTATTTAAACTAAAAAGATGGATAATCTTTATTTCCATCTATTTACAATAAAGTTAAATAAATCTTTATTTTAAAACATAACAAATATGTTTATATCTTAAGTAATTAAAAGCAATCATTGCAAATTCAAAGTGAACCTATAGACTGTAGATCTTGTAAAAACTATGGTAATATTACTGAGGATGGAAACTATTTGATAATTTGGAATGATGAAACTTTATCATTTCATGTATATGAATTGAAATATCATTGAATGTGAATTAAAGTAAATAATATATTATACTATATTTAAAAAATTTATTTATCCCTCGATTTATTCTGTCTTTCTTTATTCATATTAGAAATAAAATTAATTATAAGATTATTAAATAATCAAAATTACTTAAATATATATTTATTTTAATCTAATACTCAAATCTAATATTTTTTTAAAAATTGAATCATTAACTAAACAACTTATTAATTAACTTCATGTCCAAGATTTTATAGTATTATATGTTCATAATTTACTCGATTAGGAATTTTTAATCTTTCAAGACTTCGTGATAAAAAATCACAAGGAACTACTTAATCATCTTTTCCATGAATTATCAAAAGTGGAGTTTTATCTTAAATTTACTATAATTATGTTGTAGGAAATAGATCTCCTGATAAACCAATTATACCTCCAAGTGTTTAAGAATAACTCAAACCCACTTCTAATGCCATACAACAACCTTATGAAAATCCTCCAATGAATACATTTTTTGCTTATACCTTAACCACTTCTTCATTTAAATATTAATTGATCATCATTTTTGATTACTCAATTTCCTCAATAGAAACAGTCTAATTATGAATAATATATTTACAGTTTTAAAATAATCTAATTCTTAATTTTTTTCAATATCTGGTTCAAGTACTTTTATATCAAACCAACTAGAACTAAAATGACCATTATTAATAGTAACACGTCGATTAGGAGCTTAAAGTAAAAGTATTTTAGTTTCTGGTTTGACTATTGAATATTTTTAAAACATGCTTAAGAATCCATTAGCTGAATCCCCCAATCCATGCATCTAATTTTTAATTTATATATTACCCAAATCAAAGAATATTTATGTTCCAATTGAGGAAAGAGAATTAAGCTACCATCAGGTTATTTTTATTGTTTTATAAACATTTTATAAATAATTTATTAAAGTTTCTTCAAATTAATTTTAAAAGAAATTTAAATTTATAATTATTTTACATACTATCTTAAAGTATACACCAAATTTGAAGAATCTTTATATCTTTTAGCTTTTAGTACGAAAAACTAAAAAGATAAGCACATATGAATTTATAATATAATTCTCTTTCATTAATTCAAAGTCTCAACTATATTAATTAAATACTATATTATTGATATCATAATAAAGTATATTGAAAATTTACCTAAAAAAAATAAATATATACTCATTCAATTAATTGACTAAAAAACAGTTTCTCATTAAACCACTATGTATATTCTAAACAAAAATTTTCAAAATAATAAAGTCAATTAGTAAAATATGATACATTTAATAAAGGATATATTTTAAATTCTAATTTAATTAAAATTTAAATTATTCATATCAAACATAGTTAATTTTAATTATTACTAAATTTGTTGATTTGTCTGATAACTTAATAATATTCTTAATTGCAAAATGATTATTTCAAAATAATATGAGTACCTATTAAAAATTCATATTTATTATAATTAAAACTTAAAATTGGTTAAAAATTTGTATTGATATATTTATCAATACAAGTTTAACATTTTAATATTTTGAATTTAAAACTATTAATCCTTTCTATTTTTTTCAATATTAAAGTTAATTTACTAAGATATCCCTTAGTTGCCCATTTATTATTTAGAACAAAGTTTCATTTTGATAACAATCTAATATAACAGCACATTTTAGTTATGGCCGATCGATTAACACTTAAGATGGTCTAGTTTAGGTAAATAAAATTGAAGCATCCAATTATATTGCAATCCTTATCTTTTTATTTCAGGTTCACTATTAACTATAAAATCATTCATATTAGTATATATTTAACAGCAATAATAAAAAAGTGAATAGTAGAAAATAAGAATATTTAATTTTTTATTAATCAGGTTAGTTTTCCTTTTACTTTGATCCTAATAATACTCAATATTAATAAGAGTAAATAAAAGAGACTTCAATAACTTAGAATTTATTAATTTCTTGTAGATATGATAAAGCAATTTTAAATTATATTAAGGTATACAGCAATTTAAAGTGATACATCTAAGTTAAAAGTTAATAAAAATCCTACTAGCCTCATGTTTAAGAATATTATCTATTCTATTGATTAATTTTGCTATAAGTTGGCCAATTGAATGTTAAAGTTCACTGTTTATGGTTAAGAGGGAAATAAAAGTCTTGATAATTTAGGATCATTAATAATAAACTGTCTATTTTTAGGGAAAGAAGTAATATCATGATATATATATCTATTGTTATATTAATTTTTAAATCAAATATTTTAATAGTATTGATAACTTCTCTTATTGAAATAATTTTATGAAGATAATGAATTTAATATTTAATGATATGATTTAAGCTGATATTTGAGATAATATAAAAGGTTTTGATCAAATCAGGGGGAATATCTAATAAAAACAAAATAACTGAATCAAATCTAGTTGTTGGTTAAAGATTATTTCATATTAGAAAAATTAGATATCTAGAAAAATCAGAAATAATTTTTAGTTATTTATGTAAAATTATAATCTTATTTGTAAATAATAATTAATTTAGATAAAGAATTTAATTAATATATATTCAAGGAAATAAGTCTGTTAATTAGAATATTATGTCATGTAAACTGTTCATATCAAATCTTTATTTATTGTACATTTGTTAATCTTTACAAAAATTATATGATTACTTAATTAATTAATTTTTATTCAATTTTAAAGAAATCAAAAGAGTATTAATTTATGAAAAATTTTTTTAAATAAGACTATAAGTATTCAAATTCTTATTTTGACAATTTATTTTATCATAAACAATGTTATTTAAATAGTAATCAAGAATCCAATAATTTTTTCTATAGTGTGTTAATCAAATTGAAATTCATAGTTTTATTAGATCTTTTGTTTATTTAGATATGATTTTATTACTTAGATTATTCTAAACAAATTTCTTGATTCGAGAACATACTAAATATTCTTATCTCTAAATTTATATATAAATTTTCTATTTAAAACTTCAAAGCTTATAAAACTCTATATTATTAAAAAAATGACATAAAACTAATTAGTCCATATTATAATCCTAATTTTTGTTTCTAATTAGAAATTTCCATATTTAGACATAACATCGAAATGATAATCAATTGGTTTAAAATTTCCTTGATTTAAATTCAGTTATTCTGGGGAAATTAAAATTATAATAATCGATTTCAAACAAATTATATTATTGATTTAGAAATACCAGATTTTTTATTTAATTTACAAAACTTATTAGAATTAATTTAACTTTCATAATAGGATAATTTAGATTGTATTTTAAATGTTAATTTAAATTTATAATTAATATTTTTATTAATTTATAAATTTAATATATATTATTACTTTTAGGTTAAAATATTTTATCAAAAAGTAAATAAAATAAATAAATTAAAATGATATTAAAATCTAAAATCACACTTAAAATAATTATTCAATATTCTTTATTATCTTTAATATTATTTGGATTACTATTTATTTAAGTTTAAGTCATTTTTTTCTGGATTAAATCATATTTAGCCTTCTATTATTCGTTTCGTTTGAAATTTCTATTATAGATATTTAAATACGTTTTATCGAAAACAGTAGATTCTACAACATGTTTAGAAGTATTTAATGAAGATTATTTCATAGATTCTCTAAAGAAATATTCTTAGTCTTTGGCATGATTTAGACTTCTTAAACTTAATTAATTTGTGTGAATTTATAATTCTAAATTTCTTTGACTGTCTTATTTTAATTAAGACATCTTAAATGCTATAATCTCTTTAGCTTATGGTAATAAGAATTACTTTAATTTCATATATAATTGTTATATTCTTTTTCTTTATTCTCTACGATCTTCTAATAATTTAGATATGAATGGAATTTGATTAAGAAATGGAAAATGTTATCTAATAGATTGTTTTACTTTTTCAATTTTTTCAATATTGATACCTGCCTTTTTGAAGTATTCTACTACAATTTTAGATATCAAAATATAAGAAATTGATATATTCATTATAGCAATTAATACAAAATAAGGAATTTTTACTTCATATACATAGGTTTACTCTGAAATATAAATGCCAGCTGCTAAAATTATTGTTGCCAAGCATACATTCATAGTCTAACAATCTAATTTATTAAGTTAATTTCGATTATATGGTTTGTATTTCAAACTTAATTCTAAATAAATTCCTATTATTAGTGCAATCATAGTAGCTTTTAAGATTACATTATCATCATAATAAATTAAACAAATCATCATCAATTACTTTTATGCAATTTTTATCAATTCCCAAAAATATGCTTAATATGTATATTCATTGTATAAANTAAATTTATAATTAATATTTTTATTAATTTATAAATTTAATATATATTATTACTTTTAGGTTAAAATATTTTATCAAAAAGTAAATAAAATAAATAAATTAAAATGATATTAAAATCTAAAATCACACTTAAAATAATTATTCAATATTCTTTATTATCTTTAATATTATTTGGATTACTATTTATTTAAGTTTAAGTCATTTTTTTCTGGATTAAATCATATTTAGCCTTCTATTATTCGTTTCGTTTGAAATTTCTATTATAGATATTTAAATACGTTTTATCGAAAACAGTAGATTCTACAACATGTTTAGAAGTATTTAATGAAGATTATTTCATAGATTCTCTAAAGAAATATTCTTAGTCTTTGGCATGATTTAGACTTCTTAAACTTAATTAATTTGTGTGAATTTATAATTCTAAATTTCTTTGACTGTCTTATTTTAATTAAGACATCTTAAATGCTATAATCTCTTTAGCTTATGGTAATAAGAATTACTTTAATTTCATATATAATTGTTATATTCTTTTTCTTTATTCTCTACGATCTTCTAATAATTTAGATATGAATGGAATTTGATTAAGAAATGGAAAATGTTATCTAATAGATTGTTTTACTTTTTCAATTTTTTCAATATTGATACCTGCCTTTTTGAAGTATTCTACTACAATTTTAGATATCAAAATATAAGAAATTGATATATTCATTATAGCAATTAATACAAAATAAGGAATTTTTACTTCATATACATAGGTTTACTCTGAAATATAAATGCCAGCTGCTAAAATTATTGTTGCCAAGCATACATTCATAGTCTAACAATCTAATTTATTAAGTTAATTTCGATTATATGGTTTGTATTTCAAACTTAATTCTAAATAAATTCCTATTATTAGTGCAATCATAGTAGCTTTTAAGATTACATTATCATCATAATAAATTAAACAAATCATCATCAATTACTTTTATGCAATTTTTATCAATTCCCAAAAATATGCTTAATATGTATATTCATTGTATAAATAACCCCATTATGATTTCACTTAATTTTTATCTAAATTTGCAGAATTACTACGAAGTCCATATAAAAAATAAGAAGGAATTACAATTGATAAAATAATAAGCATAGGTAAACAAAATTAAAGAATCCATTAATAATGATAAGGAGTATCAAATCTTTAAGAAACATTTGCTTAAATCCATTAATATCCTGATATATTTCTATAAGATATAAGTTGAGCAAATCCTCCAACTAAACTTGTTTGTAAACAGATGTACATATATATAATAGTTGTTGTAATGACACTTTTATTATAACTAGTAAATTTAAATTTAATAGCTAACAAATAGCATGTAAAAAAGAAACTGATATATACAAATGGCATTATAATTTACCAAATCATTCTAGCATATTGTATTTCAAATGAAAAAAGACTAGATAAAAAACAATCCATTGAATATGTCATAGTTTAAACTGGTGATCCTGCTGTATTAATAGTACTTTAAAATTCGATTGGTAATTTCAATTTAAATGTAGCAATAGAAGCCATAATTTATAAATAATTAGTTAACATTTTAATTAGAACAGCTGATTAATTTCTATTTTATATTGCTGCTATTTTAATAAGGAGTATACTAGTAACTCTAATGGATTATTTGATAGATCTTAGATTACTTTATACTGAAATGAAAATTGATATCAAAGTCCTTAATTTAAACATTAAATAAATACCATAAAGTTACGAAACTAATTAAAATAAAATTTCTTGAAGTTTCTTAACAAGAGACACATGAATATTTTGAACTAGTTGAAAAAGGACCTTCTTCCTTAATTGCATATAAATCACATTCTTCACATAAAGCTCCTATATGACCTTTAAGACATGATAGATCTCCTTCAATCCATCCTCCTAAACAATTTTCAGGTTTATTTATGCAATAATTTATTTTATTAGTTTCAAAATAAGGTCTCCAATATCCAGGTTTTAAATTTAATAAAGCAGATTGGACACTGATTGTTGAAATATCATCTTTGAGTTCACATTTCTAAGAATTAATTGTTAATGAAAATAATGCTTATTCACTATTACATGGAATACATGAAAAGTCTGTATAGTTTTTAATTTCTCCATATTAACAATCATATGTTTTGATATTGACTCTTAATTTATAATTAGAATGTTTATTGAGTATATTATATGGATATTCTTTATTATATATAGGGATACTAATTGAATTACACCAAAATTATAATTATAATACAATATTTGATGGTAATTTATTATCAAAATAAACAATCAAATCATCTAAATTATAATCTTAGGTAGATTCATTAAATAAAACTTTTTAAATATTAGTAAGATTATTAGAGAAAACAACATCATCATTATTATTATTATTAGATAAATTCAACTTTCTACTTTCTATTGTACAAAATGTATTTCTAAGATTTTTCATTATTTATTTATTTCGACTTTATGCAATAATTCTAAATATTTAATTTAAAGGTTCATATGATCGAGTATTTTTATTAAATTTAACATAATTAAATATCTTCTATCCACTTGGTAGTCTAATGTAATTAATAAATGGAATTTATTATGTTATTTATTAAACTTATTCTATTAGAAGATTATCATTTTCTTTAATTTCTACAGTTTCTAATAATGTCATTTTATCAAATTATGCTAATGTAAGTTTCTAAGGTATTGAAACAATATCATTTCCATAAAATGTTGCTGAATTATTACTAATTTTAGTTTAGAGTCCTTAATAATTTAAATCATGAGAATTTTCAAAATACAATCCACCTCCAATCTTAGCTTAATTATTTAGTATCCAACTATTGATTATTAAAATATCCTCATTTTCTTAAATATATACAGCTCCTCCTGTTTAATATGCTTAATTATATTGAAAAAGACAATTCTACATTTCTACTTTAACATTGGATATATATAAGCATGTTCCATTTATTCCAGAATTATATTAACAAAGATAATTATCTATTAAGAATTCTAATTGCAATTATTAAATGTATTTCTCTTAAGTTTATAACAATCTTCTTTTATTAATATTACTTTTTTCAATATTTATACAACCTTATCTTCCACAAATAGAATTAGATATCATAATATTTGCTAAATATTATTTCTATAATAATTTGGTGATCTTTTAAAAATTAAAATATATTAATCCCTTTAAACAATACTTACAGTTTATTCTTACTAATTCTATCTAATATAATTTAATTGTTGTTTATTCAATAAGATCTAGGAATTAAATTAATCCTTAATTTATATCATCTATAATTATCTAATCATTTTTCTCTTTTATTAATGAAAGTATGCATTCACCATAAGTAATTGATCTATTTCTAAAATATTCGATTAAATTAATAGGAGCTGATTATTGAATACAAACAAATTATATAGGGATTTCTTCTATGTAATTTAATTCACAATTATAACTAGTTTATTTGAAAACTGTAGTAATATTTGATATTTATATATCACTTAATTATAAAATTTAATTTTAATCTATAATAATGAATAATATATTAATTACATGTATTTGCAGATATTTTAATTAGATTCGAATTAATTAAACTATTAGATATAATTAATTTTTAAATTGAGATTTCTGTAATGCAAANAATATTTAATTTAAAGGTTCATATGATCGAGTATTTTTATTAAATTTAACATAATTAAATATCTTCTATCCACTTGGTAGTCTAATGTAATTAATAAATGGAATTTATTATGTTATTTATTAAACTTATTCTATTAGAAGATTATCATTTTCTTTAATTTCTACAGTTTCTAATAATGTCATTTTATCAAATTATGCTAATGTAAGTTTCTAAGGTATTGAAACAATATCATTTCCATAAAATGTTGCTGAATTATTACTAATTTTAGTTTAGAGTCCTTAATAATTTAAATCATGAGAATTTTCAAAATACAATCCACCTCCAATCTTAGCTTAATTATTTAGTATCCAACTATTGATTATTAAAATATCCTCATTTTCTTAAATATATACAGCTCCTCCTGTTTAATATGCTTAATTATATTGAAAAAGACAATTCTACATTTCTACTTTAACATTGGATATATATAAGCATGTTCCATTTATTCCAGAATTATATTAACAAAGATAATTATCTATTAAGAATTCTAATTGCAATTATTAAATGTATTTCTCTTAAGTTTATAACAATCTTCTTTTATTAATATTACTTTTTTCAATATTTATACAACCTTATCTTCCACAAATAGAATTAGATATCATAATATTTGCTAAATATTATTTCTATAATAATTTGGTGATCTTTTAAAAATTAAAATATATTAATCCCTTTAAACAATACTTACAGTTTATTCTTACTAATTCTATCTAATATAATTTAATTGTTGTTTATTCAATAAGATCTAGGAATTAAATTAATCCTTAATTTATATCATCTATAATTATCTAATCATTTTTCTCTTTTATTAATGAAAGTATGCATTCACCATAAGTAATTGATCTATTTCTAAAATATTCGATTAAATTAATAGGAGCTGATTATTGAATACAAACAAATTATATAGGGATTTCTTCTATGTAATTTAATTCACAATTATAACTAGTTTATTTGAAAACTGTAGTAATATTTGATATTTATATATCACTTAATTATAAAATTTAATTTTAATCTATAATAATGAATAATATATTAATTACATGTATTTGCAGATATTTTAATTAGATTCGAATTAATTAAACTATTAGATATAATTAATTTTTAAATTGAGATTTCTGTAATGCAAAAGATCGAAAGAGCAGATTCAAGAAAGATATTTTCAATTTTAATATTTGTAAATCTAACTTTTTATGCAAAATTAATAAAAAATAACACTCTATTATTAATTAATAGTATTTCTTCAGATTTTGAGAGTAATGTATATTAATTCAAATAGTTTATAAATTCTTCTTATGTATTTTTGATTGATATTTCATTAAATTCAATCTACTATGATGATTATTAAAGAGCAGAAAAAGTTGCATAAATTATAGATCCAATTTTGGCATATACATTTTATATAGTTAATTTATTTAAATAAATCTAAACTTATGAAGTCCCTGTCATTATATATAGGAAACCACCTTATTCTTAAGCTTAAATATTTTGAATAATTAATTCTTAAAAAGATACATTTAATGATTAAGATGAAGTACCATCTAAAAATATAGATCCACCAAATCCCAGTTCTCTTTAAAACTCAGTTGAAATATTACTAAATTAACTATTAACAATATTAATAATGCTATTCTTTTGAGCTTCAATTAATAATGCTCCACCTGAATATCCTATAGATTATTCAAATATACAAAATTATATATCAAGATGTTCAACTAATAGTTTTCCATTTCCAGATTAAGATTTTACTCTAAATATTTAACTTAATTCTTTTTAGTATACTGCTTAAGAGTCTAAGAATCCCCATAATAAATAAGGTTATAATATTGCATAATTAAATAGACTATTCTCAGAGAAAGTGCAATTATGAAATAATAATTTCTCACTTTTTATGTATATAATACTATCAGTACTGTTTAATACTATATTTTTATTAAATATTGTATCACTAATTATTATGGTACCTAAGATACAATTCAAATTTAAAAGTAAAGCCGAAGTTTGGAGGTTATTTTAGAGATATTCATGTAATACATTTCCATAAAAAGTAATGTTTGAAAATTATAAGGTAGTTTCTTAAACAGATTCAAAAAAGAGAATTGCTGTTTGAAATTTCTAATTTGTTAAAAGCAATAAGTTGGATTCTATAATAACATCACTTAATAAAATTATTTCGAATTATTATTATTTAATCTTTTCCGAAGATTTATAGTATAAAATTGGAGAATTATATGTTTAAGCAGATCTTATAATTAAATCTTCAATTTCAAGATCAATTACTGATGATATAAAGAGTGATTGCAGATAAGATTCTCCTTTAACTTATTATAATTAGCAATCCATAAATTAATGAAGACCTAAAAATTTATACTAATGACCTTAAGATATTCTGATAGATTTTATTTTTAGTTTTTGGACATTATTTATACTTAAATCAATCAAACCATAACCTCTAACTAATTCTAAATCAACAATAGTGATTATATCAAGTTATAGATAAATAAGAGCAGAGTATTGAATGTTCATTATTTTATCAGGTGTATTCTATGATATATAGTTATTAATTATTTTGAATTAATTTATTTCTATATAAGATTGATTATTGTTGTATTTCTAAAATGATATAAACTTTGTAGATTAATGATATTCATTTAATTGAAGTATAATATTTGATAAATTTATTAATAATTTATCCAAAGATAGTTGATTAGAATTCATTATTGCTTAACTATTCTCTCTAAATCTACTTAATTAAATTATGAAATTATCTATATTATTATTATTATTTAAAATAACTAATGTTGAGTTTTAAATATCAGAATTTTCAATTTTCATTTATTTAATTTTAATTTATCTAAGTGAATAAAGGTTTAAGAAAAATAAACAATCAAGTACATTAATTTCAAAATTAGCATTATTCATTTAAAGAAGACCAAATTATTATTATTACCCTGTTTTTATCAAAGTAGAATTATTAAATTTAGAGTTTACAATTAAATTATCAATATTAATGGTATCATTTTTGTTTAGGTGGCAGAATATAGTGATTTAATTTTACAAAAATGAATTAATTAGTTAGAAATTCAAGAATGTAATAGATTTTTAATTCAATGTTTCTGAAATCTCAATAAACTTCTGTATTTCATTTTAAACTAATCCAATTATTTTGAAATTATCTAATACTAAATTTTTAACATTATTAAAAAGTATAGCTGATTAATCATTTACATTTGATAATTATTAATAAACAATGTGTTAAAGTAGGATAGTTTAAGGAAATACACTATCAAATATAATTTATTTTAATTTGTCATTAATAATTGGATGTAAGATTGCTCCTTATATAGTGATTTTATTAAAATTTAAGAATTTTAGTGGTTTTTCAAATTCTATAATTGTATTATTGTTGAAATTCATTGTTATTTCAACATTTCTAAATTAATATTGGTAATATTTACATTGTTGTAAAAATATTTTTACTAAAAATCTATTAAATTATTCCATTTGAAGGTATTTTACAAATTTATTCTTTTACACTTGATATATTTAGTATAATAGTTCTTATTGATATTTAATTGGCTTATTGATAGAATAAATCTTTTTCAAACTAATTATAATGACTATTATATATACCTCCTTAAAACTATTTCCTGATATTAAATCTGATAATAATAGATTTTATTATTTAAATAAGTTTTATTCATATTATGATGATAACGAAATCAATGCTGATTCATAATCTAATTCTGAACAATAAAGATTGAAAGTAAGAATGAATTCATAATTACAATACTGATGTTTAGAACATTATATGAATATACCCTATTCTTATTCATAATAGTATTCAGCATCATTAAAGCTTTTTAAGCATTGATACGTATATGAAATATAATCATTATTGTCAAATAATGGATTAATGCTTCTTATTTCATCTTTTGATCTTAATCGACATAAAGAACAATTTTATGGACAATCAATACATTAATTTTAAGACAAACTTAATTTTCTTCCTTTTTAATTTTTTGGACATTTGATACATTAATTTTAATCATTTATGTACTAACATTCTAAACATGATTCAGGACAAGCAAGTATACATTTATCATTTCTTAATTCATATCCAATTTAACACTCTGAACAAACTATTTCATAATCATCATAATTATCACTTTATCCATATTATCTAAATGTATGTTCAGTATTCTTTTGAATAACCACATTATAAAAGGCTCTTACATTATTTTTCCATCTATCTTTATATAGTTTTTATTGAGATTAACATTTATAACAATTTAATTCTTGAGGACATTGATAACATTTACCTGATACTCTATCTGCATAATATCCTTTTTCACATTCAAGACAATCATAAGTCACACCCCAAATATAAGTTCTATCCTTTAAACAAACTTCACAATATTTCACATTTCCTGAGCATTTTTCTGTGAATTAAACAACTTCTATATCTTATTAAACAAAGTATCTCTCTGAAATTATACAGTATTAATATGATGTTAATATAATATTTCCATCATCTAAAAAGCCAAATGTAATTTATTCACCTGAAGGTGTTGTATAATAATCATAATCTAATATTGTGTAAAAGATGTTATCATCCATGGGTATATCAACAATCTTTTGAACAACAGAGAATTGACATGTAACTTCATGCATTGATATACATAAACTTTAATCAAGAATTACTCCATATTGTAGATTACATAATGCACAAGATATCTTGATATTATTCCAATCATTTCTAGGTTTAAATGATACATCAAGAGTATTAATTTGAAAATTATTTGATAAAGTTTGAAAAGCATATATACAATTTTTAATTGTATTTTATTAACAATTAATTGCATCAAATGAAATAAAGTATTTAGAATCATCTAAACATTTATAACATCTAAAATAACTATTTTGATTAATGGGATCATAATATTTTTGACAAACTTTGCAATAATTACCACATTGAATACATTACCCATTATCTAAGGTGAAATTCTCTTTACATTATTAACAATAAGGATTTTAAATTTCCTTATTATAATAACATAATTCACAATTATTAGGACATTAATATAATTAATCATTCTTCCAATACATTCCATTTTAATATTATAAACATTTCCCTTCAATTGAAGCTTTGAGACAATAAGGATTTACCTACATACAATTTCCATTAAATTGAAAGTAATTTGGCTTACATTTAATAAAAATTGTTTAATTTAGATGTTTATGTGCAGCCTTAAAACAATCAGGTGAATCTGATTCCATTTCACAAAAATCTAAGATACCTTTATGTAAATTGATTTCCCCTTAATTATCAACTAAATATAAATCATAATTAATTTGATCTCTTTCAACATATGAAAATGCATTATTCAAAGATTCTTTTGCTGAAATCAAATCAAATTTACAAATAGGCTTTAAGTACCAAGTATATGGAGAATAGAGACAGTCAACACACAACAAATTTAAGAAATTAGATTATGGACTTCATAATTTAAATTAATACCATTTAACACATTATGCAGAGAATCCAATATTTGGTAAAATGAAATAACCAAATTAACATTAGATTTCATCATAATGAAGAACTTCTTAGGTTTTTATTAATGGAAATATTTAAGAGAAATCTACACAATTACTTTCATCTACTACATTTATATATCCCTATTAACATTCACATTTGCTTATTTCCTCTAAATAATATCTATGTGATTATGAATTGCATGTGATACAATTATTTTCAAGTGGTCCTCTACATGTTTAACAAGAATAATGGCAAGCTAATTATATATTTATAATCAAACCTTTAAACAGTATTTATTTGTCATCTTCATAATTATATTCAAATTTAAAATCAAAAATTGAAGCTTAAAGGATATCTTTCTAGAAATCATCTGCTCCTATATTTATATAGAAAGGTGAATTAATTGGAGATATATTATTAAAAGTAATTTCTTTTAAACCTAAATCATTAAAGAATTAAATTTAAACTGAACTTCTTTTTCCTTATAATTTTGATCCATATTCATATTTAATAAAATGCCATTATTGTAATCCTATGAAATGTCTATAAGAATATTCAGAAAATAGTGCTACTCTTTGAATTATTATATTATAGTCATTTTTACCCATTATAGGCATTAATCGATCATCTGCAATTACAGAGACATAAGTTCCTTTAGGATTTGCTTTATTAATTTATGTTAACATTTAAAATATTTCATCTCCATACTTTGTTTAAAAATTATAGTTTTTAAACAGACTCATCCTTATCAAATTGTATTTAGCGTATGTTACTATTCTAGATGCATCATATTTCACCCATCCAGATAAACAAAATCGATTTCCAAATTAATTCAATGTATATAACAATGATGAGCTGCCTTCAAATATTTTTAATCCTTTAATAAAATATACAGTTTATTATCCCTCTTAAGGAAGTGGGATTTTACAATTCTCACTCATGTATTTGAATTTATTTTATATATCATCAATTTAATAACTCATATGTATCTTTGATAATCTGCCATTGAATATATTAAGATTAAATCCTTAACCAATCTAAATTATAAATGTTATTCATTACATAACCTTGTCCTCCAATTATTATTCTTTCATAGCTTATGCCATTTAATATACTTCTACTTTATTTTATTTAACCTGTCATTTCTACAGTGAATGTTCCTTAATCTAATTTAATTGTGAATAAACTTAAAATCCACTCTTCTTCAAATTGAACTGGAGTATATGGAAATTCTATAATTTAATTAGGATTCCCAAATAAGACAACTTTATATATTACTTGTTTGCTTAACATGTTCATGTAAATATATCCCAAGACTAAATTTTATTGCTTCCCCTATATTAAAAATAATAATTGTCCATCTTGTGGCATAGATTAAAGGTAATCTGAAACAACTTAAGGGTAATTCTTAAATGTTTATTATGGAATGCCTAGACTCCAAAATCCAAAGGAAAAGAAATTTTCGTTATTCAGAGGATCGATTGTATATGTAGAAATAGGATGTTCAATTGGAATTAATGCATCATTGTATGTATTATAATTGCAGCAGTAGCTCTGGTGAAAAGAGGCCAAAAGAATGAGTGTAGTTATCAAAAAAGAATATGAACTTTGTAAGCTGATTTTTTCCATTTCAAAAATATATATTTTTAGATATAAGTACCCAAGAGATTTGAAAGTTGAATAATATTTTATAATAAAGTAAATACAAAAGTTATTAATGATTAATTTATTATGTATAATAATTGCTTATTTTATTTAAAAGAGGCTTCATTAATTATAATGATGGTTTGAAATAGAAATGTATATTTGCATTGTTATGCAATTAAATGAAATTTCTAATTCTCTAAATTTAATATTTTAGATAATTATATTCATTTACAATATTACAATTAAATTTATTTTTTATAATTTTATATATATATCCAATTAAAATATCATTCAAATCTATTTGCTGTCATAATGATCGATTAACCTTGTATTTCTGTACTTAATAAATTTTATTGGTAATTTTTACTTGAAGTATATCTAGATAGAATAGAGCTAAGTATAATTTCAATAATTACGGTCTATTCTTAATTTATGCTTTTGAAAAAACGATAAGGTATTTTCTTAATTTGGTGAAATTATCTTTAAGTCTTTAATCTTTTTTACTATATTCATCTAAAATTTATTCAAAGGTTTTTGATGCATTTATTAATTTTAAGTACTTGAAAAACAAATGAAAAAATTTAAACATAAGCAATTTATATTTCTTGAAGTTAATTTTTACTATTTAATATAAAAAGGGAAAAGTGATTAGAAAAAATAATAATATTAAACAAATTTGTAGAGAAAGAGATATCACCTTATTATCTAACTTTTCACTTTCATATTTAAGAGCAGCCAAAAATATTGAGACTGAACATTTTTAACTAGTTTCCAAGTCAAGTATATTGAATTTTTAAATTATATAAGGTTTTTTCTTAGCTGCAAATTATTAATAACAAATTAAACTTAAACCAATTAAGGATGCTTTCAAATGTATATTAGTCTCAAAATAAGTCAAAAAAAGAATTAATAAAGCTTTTTTACTCAGTTTTATTTATTCCCAGTAATACATTTTTGTTACATATTCATTAAAAAGATAACATATATGAGGTCTTATAGTATAAAAGTCTAATCCATTTCTTTTAAAATACATTAACATAAATAATGATAGAGGTATTAAACAACCAAAAATTATCAATCCAGGAAGTACTAAATAGAACATCCATTAATGATGAGTTTCAGTATTAAATCTTAATGTTAGATCACCTTAAATATATTATGTTTAAGATATTTCTCTATATGAAACTACAGAACATAACCTAAATTTATTTTAATTAAATTAAGTACATTTTAATAAATCCTGCATAATTGAAAATATACAAGCAAAGTAAAGTATTGGATATAACACTTAATTTAAATTTTGAGTGTAATACATTAGGAAATACAACCAATCCTAATATTATAATTATGAATTGCCATAAAATTAATAATATTATTAAAATAATCTTAGAATAGATTAATTAAACTTCTACAATTTCTGATAAATAACAATCCAAATTGTTAGCCATTGATAAAGATGTATTACTAGCTGAATCAACAAAATTAAATTAAAAAGAAAAACTTATATTGAATGTAAAAATAAGTGAAAAGATCCACAAATAATTTAAAAACATTTTTATTAGAATACTTTCACGATCTTCAATACTTAAATATTATACCTTAATTTAATTTAAAGAGTATTTTACTAAATCTTTCTTTGACTTTTAGAAATAAGAATAAATCATTTGATTTTACTATGCTTTTAACTGTTAGAATGATGGAAAGTATAGCCCTTAAATATCTATATAACTTAATACCAAATTGAATTTAAGACGAAAGGAAGTATGCTATCTTATATTCCAAAACATGGTAAACATTCAGAATTTTGTAAATTTTTTAAGTAATATCCATCTCCTTTGACATTATAGATATCACATTCTTCACATAAAGCACCTACATGTCCTTTACTACATAGTCCATCTCCAACATCCCATCCTCCTACACAAAATCTTGTTATTTTAAAACATAAAGTAGAATAATCTGATAAATAATTTGGTCTCCAATAGCCTTCTTGTAATTTTATTGCATTAGATGTTATCTCCTAAAATTTCTCCTTATCAAATATAGAACATTTGATAGTATCATATGTTATAGAGTAAAAACCTTAACTGGATTAACAAATTTAACATCCATTATCAACATGGAATTCACCAAGTTAACATTTATAACTTTTAGCATTAATGATATATTTCAATTAATTTTTCTATACTTCTGTTGTACAAGTAATTGATATTTCTAAATAATTGTAATCCTTATCATATGGATTAAAATAAAAAGCAATTTAACTTAAATCAAAATTATTTTTCTCATTATTATATAATAATTAAATATTTTGAAGATTTCCATTAATTTATTCTTCATGCTTTGTTATTATCTTATCACTTATAAAGCATGTTGAATTTATAATATTTTTCTGTAATTCATTATATTTATTTTTTAATATAAGTTCAATTGACTAAATCTATTTATATGTTTACTATATTTTTGGAATTGAAAGAGTAAAATCTTTTATACTTTAACCACTAGGAAACATTAAATAATATGTTTTAATTAATACTTCTTATTCTATAGTAGAATAAGGTATAATTCTAAGAATACTTGTTTAAACTTAATCAAAATTTGCTTTATCTGCTTTCATTTCTTAAGAATTAATAAACAATTCCAAATGTGTTGGGTTTTCCACTATGTTATTAGCATAAATAGAAGCATTATTAAAAAGCAAATATGTTTAATTTAAATTCTATACATTCAAACTACTATCTCCAATAAAATATAATCCTCCACCTTCTTTTGCTTGATTTCCAACAATGATAGAATTTTTAATTATAAATTAATTACTACTATTTAATTCTAAATATAGTCCTCCTCCCTTTTATATTGCAATATTTTAAATAATTATGCACTATTTGATAAGTATGGATTTAGTTGATGAAATGGCAACTCCTTAGCTTCCTCTATTAAACATAAAAGTGGAACTTAATATTTAAATTTATGGAGAGATAGTATTATCTCCTAAAATACTTAAACATCCATATTATTTAATTATATTGTAATTACAATATAGTTCTTATATTTTAATAGCTTGGAAAGATACTAAATCAAAATTAATCAATCCAGAAATACAATATAAACAATCATTTGAAACAAGTTCTATTTAATTAAAATAGAAAGAATGTTTATTTGATAGACTTTAAATATAAATTAAGGAAATTTAAGTTTATTTATGTTCTTCTATTATAGTAAGAATCTAATTTAAATAGTAAAATGCTTAAGCCTTTTTTGATTAATTGGCTACTATAAAACATCCATTAATTGAAAAATCAAAATCTTATAGATAGACTCTTTAAAGTCCTGGTTCATAAATTGAATTATTTATTATACTTACTTACTAAAAGAACATTATTGTTTCAATATCTAACATTTAATTTATATTTATTAAAGTAAAGGAATAAAATAATTAGATCTATCTTATTTAAATTTGCATAATTATTAATTTTGGTGCATTTATAATTGAAAATATTGGTGATAGATACAAACCTTCAATAATGACATTTTATATAGATATTGAACAACTTTCAATATAAAATAATGAATTCTGACTACTTGAAATCTGTAATAGTTCTGTACGACTTAGATTTCCCATTTATGAAAAATGTTATAGCCATGAATCCATATTTTATATTATTATAATATTTCGTAATTCTAAAGTATTCTTATCATAAATCTTTTTAGAATCAGAGAATTGAATAAAAAGTATTTGATTCATTAAGGAAATACAATCGTAAATCTCAATATCAATTAAACGTATCATATTTCTTATTTTGGATGGCTAAATTGATAAAATAGATGGAGACATTCTATTAGATACATTCCTAAAAATTGACTGTTAAATTTCAAGGTCTAGATAGCTGTCTTAAGAGAAGATACTTATACAACCTGAACTATTGGAATCTTATTTCATATCACCCGTTATATCATTTGCAATAAATTAATAAAGTTTTATTATTCCATAATCTGCAGTCATAATTTCAAAAATGAAACTCTTTAAAGCAAGAATATGTTAAAAATTACATTTTAAACAAGTAAAATTAGATGCTTTTATTTAACCCACACCTCCTATATTTGATATATTTAAGGTTTAGAATATCACCTAATTTATTTATTATTAATTAAGTTATTTATCTAATTTTAAACCATAAAACTTTTCCCATATTTCAGTGGATAAAATATTATGGTTAGAAACTTATAAATTTTAGATATTTATTTTATTAGCATAAATGTAAATAAAAGTATTTGATGAATTGGTAAATGCATTCCTTTCAGATATAAAATTAAATATTTTAATGCTACTTGATTTGATACTTAAAAATACTAAAGAAGCATAGGATTAAAAGAAACTTTCAGCTATTGAGTGGAAGCAATTTTCCTAAAATTTAATTCTATTGATTTATATATTAAGATTCCCTTCAGAATATAGAGTAAAAAGTGAAAATACTCTTGTTGATTCTTTATATAATTATAAATTTCCTTTAAAAGTAAGATCTAAAATTTCTAATTATGATGAATTTAAATATTCTTTTCTTTATGATAAATCTAAAAAAGATTCATCAATAGTAAATTAATTTATAATTTAAACAGATATGATTTTTAGAGTATAAAAGTTATCTATTTTCAGCATTTGGTTTTTATCATTTATAGTAATTTAACATGATTATGAAAATGGTACTTAATAAATTTAAGCTGAATTTTCATAAATTATATTTTAAATTATAATGTCATTGCTATCATATATATAGAAAAGGAAAAGATTTTTTATATTACTTAAAGAAAAATCCTACATTTTTAATTTTGAACATCTTATTTAAAATAGATAAGATCTCTAATCTGAATTAATTATAGTTGTCATTTCATTAAATATTAAATTTGATATTGATAAATCAACTTAACTAAATTCCTAAGTTGTATATAATTTAAAGAATTTAGAGTTCTCAAATTAATTATTTGAAGCTTCTAACTAATTAATAATTACATTAATATGTTAATTATCATTTTTTTCTAGTATTAAAATTAAATATGACTCTAAAATTTAATTATTTTAGACTTTGAAGTATTATAATTATAAATTATAATTGGAAACAAAAAAATTTGAATATAGTAGATTATTTGATTCAAATAAAAAGTACATTAAAGATAGAGAAACTTAATTCTTACAATGAAGAAGACTAGAGTTTATAAATTTGTTATTCTTTATTTTAATATTATAAAAGTCTAATCTACTTAATTGCCAATCATTAGAATCAATAAAATAAATAGATGAATTAGTGAATTCACAATCTTCTATTATTAAATTCTTAACAGATAAAATAAGTTAATTATTTATAAATTAGAATAAATTTGAATTAAGGAAATTGCAGTTTCGTATAATAAACCCATCTATTTAAACAATTCCTTAAAGTAAATAATCAGTTAAATTCAATAATGAAGAGTTAACAAAATTTAAATTTAAGAGATACACATCTTACATCTATACATCACCAAATATATCACTCTGAAATATTGATTTAGTATTTTTAATTTAACTGTTTGTAATAGTTAAATTGAATAAAGATAATTAAATTTATTTTTGATTGTTTTGCAAAATAAATTGATAATTCTTTTGACTTTTATGAATAGTGTTGTTGATTTCTAGTTTATCAATGTTATCGATATAAATTATATGACTAATTTGCATTATCAATCCTTTTCTAGAACTATAAATGAAATGAATGTATTTAAGCGAAAATACTTTTGTTTTAAGATAAGATTTAATTTCAAATCTAGGTATAGAACATTATACATTCAAATTAGTAAAGGTGAAATGCACAGTCAAACTATCTATTCCTATTGAATTAAAATAATTGACATTCAAGTATTATTCCCAAGATATATCAAACCAAAAACAATAATCTATTATAAAATGATATGTAAATATTTTTGAGCAAGTTTCATCAAAACAATATTTAGCTATTTAATCATACGGATCCAAATAGATTTTAGGATCTTACACTGGCTTTAGACATTTTTTAGTATGTTTAAAATTGTTATCATTAATTATAAAATTTGGTTGATGATTCTACAACTGAATTAAATAAATACATTTATTTCATCATTTGTTCTGGATGTGCAAGCATGACATAATTGAGTACATTCAGAACAAGTTCCATTAATTTAATCTCGTATTGGTTAATAGTTTTAATTTAAAGGACATCTGTTACAATAATAAGTATCATATTCTTTTAATTTACAATCAAGACATTAAGAATTGCAATACGAAGAACAAGAATAAGGATTAATAAGACCATAATTCTCTTAACATTCAACAATCATTTAATCAACTATTTAATTCATTTTAGTTTAAAAGTAGAAATATCTATTTGGCAGAAATTTCATCATAAAACTCTAAATTCTTTAAACCCATCCATCACTTAATTAATAAACACCTTCAATCATTATTTAAGCCTTAAATGATAAATATTTATTAGCTAAATAACATCCTCCATCTGAAATAGAGGCAGTGTATCCAATCTCACAAATGATACATTTAATTGTAAATTCAGGTGTTAACACACACTATAAACAATAAGATAGATGTTATTGACAATTAATAATTTCAGGAGCCACATTAAAATCATTAATTTATGATAATGTACATATTTCTTAACCATCATAAATAAATGATCTTAAACAATTTTATATTTTTGGAGTATCAAAAAAACAGGTTCCAGTAATAAAATCAAAAATAAAGTTATCTTCACATAAAGCACATCCTATTTTTATTTCCTATTCTAAATCAAAATCTTCAAAGTTAATATATAGAGTGCATTTAGATAAATCATTTTATTAATATTCAAAACAGTATTTACAATTAGGTATAGGACATAAATTACATTTTCTTTTAGAAGTGATATAATATGGACTTATACAAAACTAGTTATCCTAATAGGTATTAACTTATGTACAAATACCATCTATTAGTTTGAATTAATAATAACAATTAATGCATTCAAAACCATTAATAGATGGCAAACATTCATAACAATAAGGAATTAAAAGTTGACAAAAAATACGTTTTTATCTTACAGTTATTTCTAAGTTTTGTACTTCTTAATCTTCAACAAAAAATGAATAAGTCTAGTTACATTGATCACAATATATTAAATTATTTCCATCATAAAGATAATAGGTCTTATAATCTTGCCAAATCATAGTTTACACATCACCATTTTAATTTAAGAATAAATCATATTCACAATATGGATCTTTGCTCCATCCTTAAGGATTTTATAAGCATTCTTAACAAGTGGCCATTTAATCATTAATTATTGAAGGACTTAAATATTAAATATAAATTTACCAATGTATACAATAATTTTCATATTCAAAATAACCATATTTACATTTAGGCATTCTTTTTCTTTCATTTGATAATTCTATTCTTGAATCTATATAAGATAAACATATATCTTAGTCAATAGTATAAATTGGACATACACAAGCTTTGAATTCTGGCAAATATATTCTTTATGACTCAAGTGAACAAGATAAACAATTATTCTAAGTTGGTCCATCACATTCTTGACAACTATGATGACAAATTTATAATGTATTAATTGTATAACAATTATAAAATCTTATATTTCTTATTAAGATTTTTAAATAATTTATAGTAGATTATAATGTATTACCATATTCAAGTTTAAATTGAGTACATTTAAACTAATTAACTTATTCTTAGATATTATATTCATAAATATCATAACCTTCATAAAATTTAATGTTAATCATTAATTAATCTTCAAGAAATTAAATTTCTAACTTTTACCATAGACTTAATTTATTTGTAATATCAAGTTCTTTTTAGATGAGGTAAGGATCGTCAGAAAAATTAATGGTGACTGATGGAAATTTATAACTATAAGTTGTTATTATGACTTAATTTTTACTTTTAGAAATCTTATATGATAAAGAGAGAGGTGTTAGATTTTTATCTGCTAATGAATTTTAGAAATTCGATTTAAGAGTGATAAGTTAATAAGTAAATTCATTAGAATTCTAAATTATATCAGTAATTTTAAACCATCCAGATAATTAAAAAGAATTGCAGTTGATCTTCTAAGAAGTAAAAACTTGATTTTCTAACCAATTAATTGCTATGTCTTCAAGTTTTAATATATTATTAATCTCACAATTACAATATTTGTATGATTCAAATTATGTTCTAGCTAACCATTCTTAATCTTCATCTAAAGAAATCTCTTCAAATTTATATTAAACTTTAATCAATTTACCAGGAAAATAAGAAAATTTTGTACCTGGTGTAATTGTTATAATCTTTGAATTTGTTACTATCATTCCACCTCCAAAAATCAACTATAAATTTAGATCTTTAAAAGGATATTTAATTTACAAATTCTCTTTGAAGATTTCTTCTTTATAAATAAACATTAACTCAAATCTTTCTAATTATGGCCATTATACAATTTCAAAAAAATACCAAACATTTTCATACTCGAATGGATCTATATCTATTTTAAATGAATGTTACAATTCATTATTATCTATAAAGGCTATATTTTTCTGGATTTTCTTTAAAGAATAATTTATACAATCATAATATATAAGATTTAGAGCTTACGATAATTCTTCAACTGCACTATGTAAAAGAAAGCAATCACTATCAAATAATCCTACATTTCCAACTTAAAGAATGTTTGTTAAAGGATTATATTTTGACCATAATCCATATCTAAAGGCATTCAAAATTGATGATGTATTTTCTATTATCACAATTGATTCTTGGCTATATTAATACATAGAATCCATCTCCTTTATTTCTAGACTGCTAAAGATATCAATTAACAAGAAGAAAACGATATAAAATATCATATCTAAAACTTTACTAAAAAAATATTAATTATCTATTTAAAAATCAATACTATTATAAGACTGAGATTTTCAAAAAATGAGGATTAAAAATTATTATCATCATTATTTGATTAATTTAAATTAAATATAAAAATTCCACCTTTATCAATCTCTATAATTTTTCAAAAAAATGTCATAAATTTTATTTAGATATATTTTTTATAATAATCTCGACTCATTATTTATATAATATAATAATTACTATGTCAAACTTAAACGTATTTATAAACAACAGTTTATATTTCAATTCACGCAAAATTTAATTAATTAAAGTATTAGGTTGTTGATCAAATAACATTTTGTATTCAAAAACAATAAACTATGGATTTCCAAAATTTCTAATTTTTTATCTTTTAATATAATATCTTATTTTTATTAGGAAATACTTAAAATTTCTTTTCTAATATCATAAGTAAAATTGTTTTTTCATAAAAATACATATTATTAAAATATTTCATCTAATTTACTATGTTAACCAAAGAAGAAAAGTAAGTGCTCAAAAGGATTTAAAGTTCTATTTTGTATTCCTCCTATTGTCATTTTATATATTCCTATTCTAATTATTATCATTAGTGGTTCTATTAAAAAAATAGAAATCAGAATAGAACTAGAAAAAATTATGATTTCATCTATATTTTTTGAATTGTCAGAATCGAACCTAGTATATAGTATTGATAATTACCTCCTAATTATCAATAAAATTGATATTGTATATGAGATCACATTTATTGAAAAATAGATTAAAATAATAGATATGGCTAATTTACCTTTAAATCTGTAAATTGCTTAAAATATTTTGAACATTAATCTTAAAGTGAGCATAATCAATTGATTTATTATAATTATTCCAATAGATATATCCAACTCTTCTAGATATATGATCTCTGCAATGGCTAAAGGGAATATGAAATTAATGGAAGTTGATATTTATAAGAATCTAAAACTTGTATTAATATGATTATCATGATAATAAAACAATTATATGATTGAATGAATAAACTAAATTTAGAAATAATAGATTTACTTAGAAGTTTTATTTAAATAGAAAGATTAATCCTGGAAACAAAATAAGGACATTCTTCTTTTCAATCTTATTAATATCATCAATTGTTTCGATATTATTATATTTTATATCTTAATTGATTTTCCTTCTCATTTCTATGAAAATTAATTCAAAGTAAAGAAAAATAGAAAATGCCAAGAAAATACCTTGAAAAAGTATTATAGGTTAATTAATTATTGTCATGTTATTATTAATATTATCACCAATATCATTAGAGATATTTGTATTATTCTAATCATTCAAAGTCAACTTGGGTGATTTAATTAAAAAGATTTCTCCTAATTCTTAACATTAACAAGAAATTTAAACTGTAATATTTTCCTTTTCTTCAATTATTATTTTGCATTTATGAAATTACTTATTATAATCTCTATTAATACAGAAATAATTAAAAATTTCATCTTACTCATAGGATTAATCTAAACAATATTGATATTATGTAATATCAATTATATAATCTTTAATTAATGTATTATGTTAAATTACTTTATTATTATATAAATAATTTTATAATTAAGTTTTGACATAATAGTTTCTTTCAATAAAGATATTAGATTAATTCAAGAGAGTGGATATTTAAGATATATCATCTTAATTTGATAAATAATAATAGTTATAATTAATTTGTAAGGCTTATCTTTAAAGAAAGGCAATTAATGCATCTGTTGTATCTCCAACAATGTTAAATAAAGAATTAAAGACTGGTTTCGTAATTCGACTAATATTTAAATTCAAATTGGATGCATTTATCATTAATTATGCTTCATTAACTTTTGCTTTTGAACAAATCTAATTTGAAATTCGATCAATAAGTAATTACAATTCTATTGTAATATTATACAATTTTTATTTTTCAACTTCAGATTTGACATTAATATTTTAGAGCTATGAAAATATATCATCAATAAGATATAATTAAGAGAAAATTGAATTTATAATAGATTCATATTTCTAGACTAGTTTTTCATCTAAAAATAAAGGATTACTATTAATTTCTTCTTCTAAACTTATTTTCTATAAAATTAAGGTTTTAATCTCAGATTTTATACTTTATAATTCTTCATTTAATATCGATGAATTATAAGTAATTTATTCATTAATTTTAGAACTCTTAATTATAAACTTTTGAATTTGTTTATCATAACAATTAATGAAATCAACCTAATCCAATAATCTAGATTTTGATTTTGTATTAATTTATTCAATCATCAGTTTTGCTTATAATTTTATTACTTAATAGGCGAGCATTAAATCATTAAATTAAAATTAATTTAATTAAGATTTTATTGTCGACATCAATTATTTAACTAAAACAGCACAATCATCTTTATCATAATGATTTAACATAATTTCTAAAACTAAAGCAATTTGGTATTTAAATTCAAAAGTAACATTTTACAATGTACTACAATTGAATTCAGTTTTTTATGAATTGATTTCAAATATCACATTTGAGATTGATCCTCCTTAATCCATAACTTAAATCAGAGAAATTCCATTTGATGCAGGTAAGTAAACTTCAAAAATATTTGAACTTTAAAAAGAATACAATATAAGAGAATTGTCTGAGATTCCTTTTTTAAACTCTTCATAATCTTAGTTTATGAGAAAGAATCGCAATTGATATTAAAAGGGAGAGTCATCTGAATATTAACAATTCCCAAAAATTTTTAATTTACTTAATGTAGATGAATTATAATTATATAATTATCCTTTGCATATAGGAGGTTAATTGAGGATTAATTAAACATCTTATTAACTTGGAATAATATCAAAAGAATATTATGTGACAAATTTCAGATAGAAAGAATTTCCTACATTAAAATCTTAATAGTAATCAAATAATTTAAATTGAAATTAAAAGTATTTGGGTGAAAGTAGTTTGACTAATTCAAAATCATAAATAATTGCTACTTGATATTCTACTATAGATTATCTATAATCAAAAGGGATATTAAATGTAAATTATAGTGATTCATAATTATTGATAGGTCTCATCTAATAACCTTTACTATAATTCATATCTAAAATACTAAAATCATTGTCCAAATAAACTACAGTTTATCTAAAAGTGTAAGATGTATTATTCTATTTCTTGGCTGTCACTTACCATATTTAAATTGAGTATGTTTAAACTGATAACTTTGGTATAGTCTATATTGAATCAGTTCTATTAACTTAGATGATATTCTTCTTTAAATCCAAACATTAACTATTCATTATCAAATCTAAACATTTAACATCAATTGATAAATCAGGATCTTCATTCCAATCATATTGTGAATCTAAATCTCTGCAATTAATATAAATTATTGCATCCTTTCGATAATTATAAATTTTCTTAGTTCCTGTAAATTGACAATTTAATCCTGCCTTAGCTATTTCTATTGTAATATTTCTTGAAACAGAAAAAAGAATAGAAGGATCAATTGTTGATAATTTGAATGTATAAGTAGTAAGAGGAGTCAGAGTGTAATTTTGAATAGTAACATTAAAAGTTGTTTCACTTGTCAATGTTGAATAATTCATTCTTGAAGATCTAGAATTAGAATTATTTCTATAAATTTCAATTAAATCAATTTAATATTTTGAAACATCTTTATTTGTTTCAATTGATCCTTCACAAACTTTTCTATTTATTGTAAACAATAGCATTATATTCTCAAATGTAAAGAACTTTCGTTTACTAACTAAAAGAATTGTTGGAAATTCACCTGAATGAGTGGCTAATTCAATCTTAATTTAATTCTTTTAACCTACAAAATTTTTAAATGAAATAAATAAAAAAATTGTTGATTATTTAGGTAAAGTGGATAAAGGAATGTTTAAATCTAAAATTTAAAGAGACGTTTATTATTAAACAAAACTTTCAAGATTACCATTTCCATTTATACCATTTATTTAATATTACCAAAAAATACTATTTAATGCTCTTAAACCATCATACTATTTAGATTTCATTTAAATATTGTTATCATCACAAGGATTTACCAAATATGTTGGTATTCATTAATATTATATTGTTATTGTACTTCATAATCTATAATTGGTATTAATGGGTTCCTAGGTAATTTCAATGTGGAGGATATAAATAAATTAATTTTACTCTCGCATTCTACATGACCCAAAGAATTTTCCAAAAATTCAATAGGATCTCCAGGGAGGATAGTTCCATTCTATCCTAGAAACAAAACTAACTATTTATAATTTTCAAATTCTAATTAACAATTAGGGTTAATTCCTAATTTCTAAACAGTTGTAGGTTGTAATATTTTTTAACAGATGTTATCTGAGAATTATAATGAAAAATAATTTGGATTCAAATTAAAATCAAATAACACTTTGATTGAAAGTAAATCATCAGAAAAACGAATATCCAAAACAGCAACTTCACAAGCTATAAATATTAATAAAATTCATTTACTTGAACACCATGGTGTTTCTGGATGACTAACTGAATTTTAAGGACAATCACAAGTTTTTTCTTCTGATAATACCCTATTTCCATTACAAATTAAACATCCCTCTAGATTACAAGTTTTACAATTTGGATCACATTGTTAACAATCAAGACTTTAGAAATCATCATAATATCCATCTTAACAATTACAAAATGGAATATTAATACGATCACCTTTACATAATAAACAATAAGATTAATTTCCTTTACATGTTAAACATTAAAAATCACATTCTATAAATATTAATTAATAAGGATTACTTATACAATCAGGTTATCCTGCTTCAAAATATCCATCTAAACAATCACAAGTTTTATTTATTCTAATACCTTTACAACTTGTACAATTATATGATAATTTTTCACATGTATTACATTGATTTTCACATTCTATATTAATAATAGAATATAAATACATTCACATGTTTATTATTCATTTTAAAAATATCCAGATTTGCAATTACATGTAGGAATTATTTCTCTTAAATTACTAAGACATAATAAACAATTTTATGGGGATTGTGTACAAGTTTTACATTAATAACTACATTTTTAACATTAAAATTAAACACCATCATCATAATATCCATCAATACAATCACAATTTTATGTAATTGATAATCTATTAGATGTACTTGATGTTTTACAACTTATACATTTATCTTTTTATGATATACATCCAGAACATTTAATATGACATTCTAATATATATAATAAATATACTTTAACAAATTTCATTTTAATCTTAATAGAAATTAGTTTAACATGGACATTTATGANTGTACTTCATAATCTATAATTGGTATTAATGGGTTCCTAGGTAATTTCAATGTGGAGGATATAAATAAATTAATTTTACTCTCGCATTCTACATGACCCAAAGAATTTTCCAAAAATTCAATAGGATCTCCAGGGAGGATAGTTCCATTCTATCCTAGAAACAAAACTAACTATTTATAATTTTCAAATTCTAATTAACAATTAGGGTTAATTCCTAATTTCTAAACAGTTGTAGGTTGTAATATTTTTTAACAGATGTTATCTGAGAATTATAATGAAAAATAATTTGGATTCAAATTAAAATCAAATAACACTTTGATTGAAAGTAAATCATCAGAAAAACGAATATCCAAAACAGCAACTTCACAAGCTATAAATATTAATAAAATTCATTTACTTGAACACCATGGTGTTTCTGGATGACTAACTGAATTTTAAGGACAATCACAAGTTTTTTCTTCTGATAATACCCTATTTCCATTACAAATTAAACATCCTTCTAGATTACAAGTTTTACAATTTGGATCACATTGTTAACAATCAAGACTTTAGAAATCATCATAATATCCATCTTAACAATTACAAAATGGAATATTAATACGATCACCTTTACATAATAAACAATAAGATTAATTTCCTTTACATGTTAAACATTAAAAATCACATTCTATAAATATTAATTAATAAGGATTACTTATACAATCAGGTTATCCTGCTTCAAAATATCCATCTAAACAATCACAAGTTTTATTTATTCTAATACCTTTACAACTTGTACAATTATATGATAATTTTTCACATGTATTACATTGATTTTCACATTCTATATTAATAATAGAATATAAATACATTCACATGTTTATTATTCATTTTAAAAATATCCAGATTTGCAATTACATGTAGGAATTATTTCTCTTAAATTACTAAGACATAATAAACAATTTTATGGGGATTGTGTACAAGTTTTACATTAATAACTACATTTTTAACATTAAAATTAAACACCATCATCATAATATCCATCAATACAATCACAATTTTATGTAATTGATAATCTATTAGATGTACTTGATGTTTTACAACTTATACATTTATCTTTTTATGATATACATCCAGAACATTTAATATGACATTCTAATATATATAATAAATATACTTTAACAAATTTCATTTTAATCTTAATAGAAATTAGTTTAACATGGACATTTATGAATTGGTGATTAATCTATTCTATTTAAATTGATATCACAACTAGTACAATAATCATTTTTTCCTTAACATGTTAAACAAGATTTAGAACATTCTAAAATTAATAAATAAATAAATAATAATAATTACTTTCACATATTAATTATCCATTATCAAAATATCCAGATTTACATTAACATTAATTATTATTTAATATTCTTATTTATTCATTTTCATAACAAGATAAACATTTAGTTGATATTTATTAACAAGTTTTACATAAATTATTACATTTTTAACACATTTCAATACCANTGAAAAATAATTTGGATTCAAATTAAAATCAAATAACACTTTGATTGAAAGTAAATCATCAGAAAAACGAATATCCAAAACAGCAACTTCACAAGCTATAAATATTAATAAAATTCATTTACTTGAACACCATGGTGTTTCTGGATGACTAACTGAATTTTAAGGACTATCACAAGTTTTTTCTTCTGATAATACCCTATTTCCATTACAAATTAAACATCCCTCTAGATTACAAGTTTTACAATTTGGATCACATTGTTAACAATCAAGACTTTAGAAATCATCATAATATCCATCTTAACAATTACAAAATGGAATATTAATACGATCACCTTTACATAATAAACAATAAGATTGATTTCCTTTACATGTTAAACATTAAAAATCACATTCTATAAATATTAATTAATAAGGATTACTTATACAATCAGGTTATCCTGCTTCAAAATATCCATCTAAACAATCACAAGTTTTATTTATTCTAATACCTTTACAACTTGTACAATTATATGATAATTTTTCACATGTATTACATTGATTTTCACATTCTATATTAATAATAGAATATAAATACATTCACATGTTTATTATTCATTTTAAAAATATCCAGATTTGCAATTACATGTAGGAATTATTTCTCTTAAATTACTAAGACATAATAAACAATTTTATGGGGATTGTGTACATGTTTTACATTAATAACTACATTTTTAACATTAAAATTAAACACCATCATCATAATATCCATCAATACAATCACAATTTTATGTAATTGATAATCTATTAGATGTACTTGATGTTTTACAACTTATACATTTATCTTTTTATGATATACATCCAGAACATTTAATATGACATTCTAATATATATAATAAATATACTTTAACAAATTTCATTTTAATCTTAATAGAAATTAGTTTAACATGGACATTTATGAATTGGTGATTAATCTATTCTATTTAAATTGATATCACAACTAGTACAATAATCATTTTTTCCTTAACATGTTAAACAAGATTTAGAACATTCTAAAATTAATAAATAAATAAATAATAATAATTACTTTCACATATTAATTATCCATTATCAAAATATCCAGATTTACATTAACATTAATTATTATTTAATATTCTTATTTATTCATTTTCATAACAAGATAAACATTTAGTTGATATTTATTAACAAGTTTTACATAAATTATTACATTTTTAACACATTTCAATACCAACATCATAGTAACCATCTAAACAAAGACATTAATTAGTATTATTATTGAACAATCTAAAATATAATGATTCACATGTTAAACAATTTATTTTTTAATTTATACATGTTCTACAACTCAAATCACATACTATTTATAAATATTATTATAATTACATTAACACATTTTTTCATTTGTTTCATAATAACCATCTTTACATAAACATTTAAAATTATCTGGATCATAAAATCTACTAATTGGTTCACATTCAATACATTTTTATACATTTTGACATTCCTTACATGTAACATTACAATCTATTTTTATCTTATAAATCATTTACTTTCACATTTTTTAGATATTAGATTATAATAAAATGAACTGCTGCAAATACATTAATTTTAAATGCTTAAAGTTAAATTTAGTGATTAATCACATGATGTGCAATATGAAGAGATTCCTTCACATGTCAGACATGATTAATTACATTCTTTACAGGCTAAAGTCATTTTATCTTCAAAATAGCCAATCATACATTAACATGTATTACCTGATTATTTGATCCTAAAATTAATGAGTGAACAAGTCAAACAATGGTTTTCATCATAAGCACATGTTTCACACGAAGGATGACAAATTTTACATTATCGGTCAGCTTCTGATTCAAATGTACCATTTACGCAGAGACATTTGTTATTAATTAATTATTTCATTTGTTGACAGGCTGTGCAATTTGAAATAGAATTTGAACATGTTAAACAAGAGACATCACAAAATTAGCAAACTCCATTTACATCAGTGGTACCATTTTAACACTTACATTCATAAGTGTTAGGATCTAGTGATTTTAAAAGAGTAGAGTCACATTCAGTGCATTTATAAGGATTTGAGATGCATTTGAGGCAATTAGAATCACATTTAGAACATTAAGATGATCCTGTTTCAAAAAATCCTGTATTACAAATACAAGTTTGCAAATTTAAATGTCTTGTTATCGAACATGAAGTACAATAATAAGATTAATTTAAACAAGTTAAGCATTAAACTTAGCACTATTAACAAATACTTGAAACTCCATCATCATAATAACCCACTAGACATTGACAAACCTAATTTATATATGCCCTATAAGAAATGGTACTATCCTTGCAAGTCATACAAGAATTAAATCCTATGCCATTACAAGATAAACAAGAATGATGACATTATTTACAAATCTCTACACCGTCATCAAAATAACCCAGATTGCAGCTACAAGTTTAAAGAATACTCTCATATGTTCTATTAGCTGTTAGCATACAGGAATCACATTTAGTGTTAACCAAACTACAGGTTTGACAACTATAATGGCATTCTATATTTATAAATTAATGAGTTTTACATTAACAAATGCTATTGGATCCATCATCAAAGTACTTTTATGGGCAATAGCATGACCCTTATAAGGCATTGAATTACCTTAAACTTGAAGGGAGACAAGATAAACATTAAGATTCATTACTTGCACATTCTTGACATCTGTAATTGCAAACTATATAAGTAATGTGTTATAATTACTTAAGCATTTAGCTTTGCCATTATCAAAATAAGGTGGTTTGCATATACATATAGACCCAGACAGCTCTCTCATTTCAGTATCTAAGCATGTGAGACAATTATTAAAACTAGGGCCGTCACAAGTTAGACATGAATAGTGGCAATCTTGATAAATAAAAGGAAATATACTTTAGCAATCAATCTTAGTAGAAGTTTGAAATGTACTAATAGAATTTCCTTGAACTTTTGTTTTGCATATACAAGTATTTCCATTTAGATATTTATCAGACTTGCAAGATGTACATTTATTTAAATTTTCAACACAATCTTAACAATATGGACTACAAGCTATAAATTATAGTAAAAAATATATACATTAACATTCAGGCATGCCATCATCGAAATATTTGTTAATACAAGGACATAATCCATTGTTTAAATATCTATAATTAAGAGCATCGCAATTTTCACATTCACCAGAATTGGTTCCACTACAAGTTTTACAAGTATAATGACAATCTTAATATTAATATAAATAGTATATACATATGCATATTGGATTACCAGGTTTATCATAAGCTTTAGAAGGACATGAACATGAATTATCAGTTCCTAAATCCCTTAATGAAAATGATGGACAAGAAGTACAATATTCAATTTGGTTGGCACAATTGGCACATTTATATGAGCATTCTAATTTAACAATAAAATAATTACAATAACACATAGGATCATTAAGACTCTTTTCCATGTAACCATCCTTGCATATGCATTTATTTCCTTTTATGATTCTATTATGTTCAGAGAAGCAGGTTATACAACTAGTAATATCAGATGAAAAGCAGGTTTTGCAAGTATAATAACATTCTTAGATAATAGATTTCAAAATTACAATCACATTGTAGTAGTCCAATTTCATAAAATCCATAATTGCATTCACATATTGAAATGATTAATTATCTATAAATTGGATCACATGATTAACAACTTTTATTATCACTACCATTACAAGTCAAGCAAGAGTAATGACATTCTTGACATTCCAACATTAATTCATTATCATAATAATGAGAATCCTTGCATAAACATTTAAAAGTTTATCCAAATCCATCTGGTTATCTTGTAGAGGGACAAGCCTTACATTAATTATCTAAATAACTATTATTACAAAGTGTACAAGAGTGATGACATTCTAAAAGTTGTTATTTAATTTTATTTACATTAACAATTTATTGTTTCACTACCATCATCATAGTAGGCTCCATAACAAAGACATTAATTATTTGATGATAGTTATCTATGACTAATGTCTGAACATAATGTACAATTAGTTGATAATGGTCCATTGCAACTTAGACATGAATAATGACATTCTAAGAAATACAAATATGGGATGTACTAAAACATATATCTAAAATCCCATCTTCTCCATATCCATCTCTACAAATACATTTCAAATCTTCAGAAACAATTCTGTTTTGTCCTGGTATGCACATTGTACAAAATTGATTTGTAGAATTATCATATGGGATTTGACATTTTTCACATTTTGGATGGCAAGCTTTAAAGTATATAAATAATTATATACGATCACATCTAGTTAAACCATTAGGTAAAATGAATTAAACTGTTCTTTTGGCACAAACACATTTATTTTGAAATAATTCTTTGTGATATATATTTGGATCACCACAATCAGTACAATCATTATCTAAAGGACCAGAACAATTATAACAAGATGGAAAACATTCTACATAATTAATTAATAATTTGTACACTCACAAATTCCATCTTCATAACCAGTATCATAATAACCTTATATGCAAGGACATTTAAGACCTATATGTTCTCTATTTAAACCAGGTTTACAAGATGTACATTCATAAAAATTGGTAGTACAAGTTAAACAAACACCTGTAGTACATAGAGTACATGTTCCATCCTTATCAGCATATTCTTAAGAGATATCACAAATACACTTCCCAATTTCTATTTAAGAAGATCTATGTTAATTTATCCAATCACAAGTGGTACAATAATCTGGATCAGTATTAAGACAAGTCTGACAAATTGAATTACATCCTATAAATGGTGCACATAATTTCTAAGGAGTCAAGTAATATGTTGCCCAACAAAATAGACATTCATTTTCATTAGCACAAGCAAAACATCCAATTAAAGCTGGTAATGATTCACATTCTACATAATTAAACAAATTTAATACTTGTACAAATTGATTAATATTTGAAATATTGAAGATCACATTATAAACAATTGATATCTATTGTTTCACCTGTAATTTAATCATATATGTAATCATATTTGACACAATTTGGATCACCAAAACATTTATAACTTTTTAAAGAATATGGCCATTCACATTCACTACATTATCCAAAAGAACATGTTTTACAATGAATAGGACACTCTAATACAATAAGATATTTAATACACACACAATCATCATCTAATAATTCATATCCCACTTAACAATCAGTAAATGAATATACTAAATCAACAATTTAACAATTTTATTATCCTGTATTGCATTCTTAAATAATCTATATAATATCATACTTAAACTACACTTTGTGTCATTCTCATTCATTGGAGAATAACCTATTTAACAAGTAGCACAATTTTTATTTGTTGAATCACAAGTCTTACAACTTACTCCACAAACTAATTATTTTACAATAAAAACTACCAGGAGCATTATAAGGAGGGCAAACGACACTTGAACACATTAATCCACAACTATTGTAACATATCTAACATTTGTATGTCCCTTGAAATTTCTGTGTTACTATGCAATTATATGTCACTAGATTCCCTATTTACTCCACACCAACCAATAACTCACCATTAGAATTTAATTCATAGACTAAGAGTCTTGGAGGCTTACCTTACAAGAAATAACTAGTGTATGGAACTGGCCATAAACCATAAGCCTTTGCTCTTGGATGACACAAGACTTCGTAATTACTCACTTTTATAACTTTTAACTCAGTTTAAGCATAGCATTCATTTGCATACCCTAAATATTATCAATTTTACTAACCTACACAAGAATGTGGTGACATCCCTGGCCAATAAATATGATAGCCTGGACAAGTTATTTTGTATGGTAACGAACTATATTCACTCCAATAGTTTCGAAATGTCCAACAAATTTAAATCAAGAAGAAAGTAATTACCAACATAATATATTTAATATTCACTTATTCCATTGTACATTCATCATTTATAAAACTAATTAAATCTTTTCATAAAGATGGACTTGATTTTATTAGTAATTAATTAAATCAATTTAATTCATTATTAAATATCATATGTTCTTTTTACTTCTATTTCTCTTTTTATTAAACTTCAATATCAAAAGATACCATATTAATAAAATAAAGAGAAATTTCTATTATTCCATTCCAATTTCACTTTATTATTATGTTGAAATGTAACAAAGAATTTCATCAGTGCAACAAGTCTCTTTACTTTTTGATACTGTCTTCTCAGTTCTCTGTCTGTCATTTCTAGAAGAATCTTGCAGATCACCAATAAAAGTCTATACTTTAGGTTGTATTAATAATAATATTCAAAATAATAATTTATAAACATAAATAATCCTAACTAATGGTTTCATAATATAGTAATTACACCAAAATTTATTTTAATTAATTCTTTCGAATTAAAGTTTAATTCAATTGATATTTGATTTCCAAATATGATAGAATTGTTAAGCATACTCAATTCATCTACTCAACAAACTAATCATTTTTTATCTGAATTTTCTTTTAAATTACTAAAATATTTCTCTTTACCTTAAATAATTAAAAAATAATTTTTATTTCAAAATACAATATCTCTTTCTCACTCTTTTATATTATGAGATAGTATTTTATAATATTACTTAATATTTTGGACTTCTGAAGTTGTACTTTAAATCATTTCTAGTATTAAATTGATCAAATAATAAATTAACTTATATTGTAATAATTATTGAATTTAATTCATTTATAAATCTCTTTTTTAAATTTTTATAAAAATAATTATTGTAGGTTTCTGTTAATATAAAATTTATTATTGATTCCTCTTGATGTGTTTTAATTAAAATTTAGATATCTCCAATTCAATAAATGGTTGAAACAATAGAGAGCAAGGAATTATTCTCATTAAATTTATTGTGGGTTGAAGAAAAATGAGTACGTCTGGCATACTTTAAAATACTTACTTTGTTTTTTAATATTTAACTATTGAGAATTGATAACAAATTCATAAATGATGAAATATAATAAATTATTTCTGATTCAATATGAATAAATATTTAATTCTTTTTTTCATGTAAAATTTAAAACAGTTGTATTAATAGTATTCTTAATTATTTTAATTAATTAAAGCAATAAATTTATAAATTTATTGAAATATTAAACGTTATTAATCGTAGCATTTCTGATTTAATACTAAAAAAGGTTTGTTTTGATTTATTAAAATAATTTAAAAAATGTTAGATTCAGAAATTAGTATAGAATATATAATTATTTAAAATATGTTATATTTTATATTTTGATTATTGTAAGACATTGTAACAGATTAATATTAATGATTTATATTAATTATAATATTATATATTATTTAAATACTATTTCTTTGATTTAATATTTACAGAGGAATTAGAATTATAAAAGTAGAATGGATATAAAGAGAAGAAGTAGTATGAGAATAAAGATTGTGTCATATTGGTTTTAGTATAAATAAGAATAATAGAATAGGATATTATTTAAAGTTATGAGCAAGACAAATTCATTACTGATTTGAATTATTGGTTTTTTTATTTAAGGTATCGTCTGTCTTTTTTTGTTATTTTTTGGTTTATTTTTTGATTTTTTTGTTAATACTCTATTCCTTTTTGATTGTTTCATTCATTTAATATTGAGTGTAAAATCGAACAGGACTTGATGAAGAGGAGGAATTAGATTCAAGTAATGAAATATGGCTATCGATTCTATATAATAGAAGATTTATATAATCTTCTATTTATGTAAAGGCTAAGATTGATATGTAAATTTGTACTATTATTTTCATATGAGGTTAATAGAATTTGAAGGATGATAGCAGTGTCTTTATTTAAGAAGAAGGCTTTTTCAAGTTTGGCAATTTATTCCTAATTTGGATAGGAGAAATCATTAGAAAATATGATGTTGAGCATTGAGTTGAAAATATCAGGGTGATTATTCTTTCGAAGGATTTATCGTAATTGGAATACAGCTTGTTAAAATTAGCTCATTATAATGGCAAGATCCATGATTGATATATATATTAGTTGGTTGAAATATATTGGAAATATAAAATAATAAAATTTACATAATTTAGTTATGAAAATGATTAATACTAATGAGTGAAATATAAATATAGAATTGAAATTCAATTATAGATTAACAAGTTGTCAATATAATCTATGTAAATTTTTTTTAATTAGGAGATAACTAGATGGATATTTTTAGGAAATGATGATATTCTAATCATACTTAGTGAGCAGTTGTTATCGAAAATCTTCATAACAATCGGATTGGAAATCATGATTTTTGATGTTTTTGAGTGTAAAGGATATTATCTAAAATGAATGAAGAGTATACAATAATAGCAAATGCAATTTGAGAAGGCTCATAATTCAATGTCCAAGGTAATGCCATTAAGGATAAAGCATATATCAATCGTACTTATTCTGCTGAAATTCTTTTTGTTTTCTTTATGTAATAAATTTATTGTTCAATAAAATCCATGACAGTTGGTTTAGTTATTTCAAAATTTAACTTTTGTAAAATGTGTGTTTCTATTTCTGTAGACATCTACCATTTGCATCTATATTATTAATCAAATTTAGTAGCAATCCATAGACTTGTCAATAAGTAATCCTATGTTAATATATTAGTCCTTAAGTAAATTGATTTAGCTAAGTATAATGTTGAGATTTTTAGTTTCAACCTATATTAAAATTAGGACAGTATTTTAAACTCATCCAACAGATCATGTTGTTAATATATCAGAATTTATTGAGTATGCAGATATGCAACAATGTCTTTATAATAAGGATTCAATGATTCTATTTCGGTATCACTCATTTTTAAATTTAAATTAATTATTCTCAAAATTAACTGCTCTATTCAATTTACATTAAATTCCTTAGTATGCTTAATGTAAATCATCAAAATGTTTCAACGATAAAGAATCAGCCAACTTAAATGCCTCCTATCTCTTCAACTTCCTTCTCCTTAACTAAACTCTCTCTCCTGTAAATAATGATGATTCCCATATTTTAGGCGCATTACTTTTTTAATATCTTTCAGTCTATATTTATGGTAATTTAAGTGGTTCCTCATATTAATCTTAGAGTGGATATGCATGATTTCTCAATAAATAAGGATGTTCCTTATTCAACATTTCAAATTCATTAGATTCTAATATTTCCTCATCCCCAATCACCTCATTCTCTACTTACTTCAATTTTTCCCATAAATTTATCTAAGATCTATATTTCTTTGTGAATGGATCTAAATAACTATAGTAATGATATTTACGTAGAGTCAGATCTTCTTGTTCTTCAAACTACACTGGATTACTTTAAAGTTTCATTAGTTCTTAAAAACCTAATTTTGTTAGTACTTTTATCTTAGGTTTCCTTTGATAAGCAAACTCTTGCACAGGTCTATGATTGAATTTTGTGTACATTAATTTTTATTTATAATTATAATCAGTCAATTACTATTACATTACAATTCTCTTATCTACATGATAACCATCCTTAGTTGCTCATCTATATACTTTTCATAAAGTTGAAGTCAAAGTGAATCGATACATATCATCTATATAAAGTTATGATTAAAAAATATCTAAGTAATATTATAATTAATTATACTTGAAATGTTAAGTTAGAATAATGGAGTAAAATCTTAATTAACATATTTTAATTTACACATAATTAATCTTTTCTCATAAGAAAAATATCATTAATTTTTACTTAAATTTAAATCATTTATAATTATAAACAAAACTTATGAATCAATTTAATCAGAAATATATATTACTTTTGAATAGATTATCAATTTTATTTAATCTATGACTAAATTAAAATTAATAATATGATATTCCTTTGGAATTCACTTAAAATAATTTAAATTCATATAAATTTTGTAGATTAAGAAAACTTTTATTGATTGCTAATCTATTTTCTGATCATCATATTAATTAGAAAGAAGAATAATATCAAAATTATAGAGGAAATTTATATAGAATATGCCAATAAATTTACTTATTTAATTGAGTAAAAAAACCATTATTGGAATTATATAATTGGATTTCTTTTAGATTATGAAGGTAATTCATTTAAAATAATTTGCCTTTATTCTTGATTACATTTAATATTGGAATGATAAATTGTTTGTGTATTTAAATATAAAGAATTAATTCTATTTATTTAATGGAATTTAAAATTAAAATAAAATTTACATGCCTTTTATTCTTTCTATATTTATCTAAATCTTATTTGAATTATATAAGTGAGCCAATTATTAAGAAGACAAATAATAATATTAATAAAAAATGGCAAGAACTAAATAAACCGCAAGAAAAAGTACTGCTGGAAATAAAAAACCCACAAAACATTTGGCCACCAAAGCAGCAAGGAAGACTGCTCCAGCTGTTGGTCCATCTGGTGGATTGAAGAAACCACATAAATTTAGACCTGGAACTGTAGCATTGAGAGAAATTAGAAAATATCAAAAGTCAACAGAATTACTAATCAGAAAGCTACCATTCTAAAGATTAGTAAGAGATATAGCCCATGATTTCTAAAAAGAACTTAGATTTTAGAGTTCTGCTATTTTGGCTCTTTAGGAAGCAGCTGAAGCCTATTTAGTAGGATTGTTTGAGGATACTAATTTATGTGCCATTCATGCAAGAAGAGTAACAATCATGTCTAGAGATATCCAATTAGCTAGAAGAATAAGAGGAGAAAGATTTTGATTGATATGTCTTTAAATTATGACAAATATTTGAAAGTTTTTTTAACTACTTTTTAATAATATTAAATTTTTAATTAATAAACCAAGCCATAAATGTAGGAATTAATTGAGATTGGCTTAAAAAAAGTATTGCCAGGAATTTTAATAAATCAAATTGCCTTCTACTCATTATATAAGATATTGAAAAATAATGAGTGTATTGTTGATGTAGCATACACAGTCAGTCATTTAGTTGCAGGATCTATATATGCTTATCATTTTGGACTCTCATCTTTTGAAAACAAAGTAGAATATTTTTATATCATTCTAGTTTAAATTGGGATTATTAGCTTTGTGGACAGTCAGATTAGCAGGATTTCTTTTCTATTATAGAATCATGAGAGGATTTAGAGATCCTAGATATGAGGTCATTTTTGAGAAATATAAAAAAGAGACTTTAAAAAGAGATATTGTTGTCTTTGGACAATACATTTTCTAAGGATTCATTGTTTTTGTTACTAGCTCATCATTGTATTTCTTATTTAAGAATTAATTGAATCCAATATAATTGACTATTTTAGGAACATCAATATTCTGGATATATTTTGAAGGATTAGCAGGTAATAATTACTTATATATTTGATAGACCATCAATTATAATAATTTAAAGATAAAAAGAATAAACCTCCAAACTCAATATGTCAAGATGGCTTATGGAAAAAGAGTAGACATCCAAATTTATTTTTTGACTTAATGACTTGGACAACTATTGCCATTGCTAGCATTAAGTCAAGGCATGATTGTTTAGCTTTGATAAGTCCATTAATTTTATATTATGTAATGGCTGGTTTGACTGTACCAATTACAGAAAAATTAATGAAGAAAAAAAGAGGTGACAAATTTCTAGAATATTGTTCAAAAACAAATAAATTCTTGCCTATTTGAATATTATTAAATCATGTTATTAGAATCAATTCGTTTACATATTCTAACTATTTTACTTATCCTCTCTAAAAATATCAAATCCATTTTAATTGATACATTAAGTTCTAATATAAATTTTACATAGTCTTCATTTTTATACTCAATAAAATCAATATAGATTTAGGATTTTAATTCAAAAGCTTTTATAGATTATCTAAATTTAGTTGAATTTATAGTAAATTTTATTATTATAATAAATGAAATATATTGATTATTCTTTAAAATCAGTCTATTATACTATTATAAGAATATAGAAATATAGTAAATATGCTAATTCATATCAAAAAGTAATCAAAGCTAAATATTCTTCATAAATTCTTATTTTGTTGATTTTATCATTAATTTTTTAAGATATAATTTATTACAATTATGTAATTTATGTTATATATTTTAAATTTTTTAAAAGTAATTTATTCATTTATGATAAAATATTTATAAATTGGTATCATCATTGGTATGATCACGTTGTATTACAAGGTATTCCAATTTCCCCTTCTTTGTTTAACATTTATTAGGATGATATTTTTATTGAATTTTCTTAAATCTTTAAGTAATGGTTAAATTAGTTTATTAGGTTATCCCATCGTATCATAATACAATTATTTAGGAATTCTAATAGATAAAAAGCATCAATCTAAAGGACCTTAATAAAATATAAAGATAATTAACAACTAAAGCCACTAAACTAAATAAGATTTACAGAAAAATGTCTTTATGTAGACAGATAAATATATTGAATGTGTGTAGAAATACTACTCATTAAAAAATATGAAGCAATTAAGGTTAAAAAAAAAATAATAAATATTTGATTATTTAAATTATAACAATTAAAGTAATTTTTACTAATTTTTCAATTAAAATCTATTTAAAATATTATTTGTAATTCAACTTATAAACTAAAATAGAGTTTGAAATAAATAAGAAAAACATCTATAACTTGAATTTCTTTTTTTGGAAAATACTTATAATTTATTAATTTACAAAATTTAATTCTCTAATACAGAAATCATAGGAAGAAATCAATAGTAGTTATGAAAGGAAATAATAGAAAAGTTGAATAAACTTCAAGTTTTATAAAATTAAACAATTTAATGAAATTATTATATATATTCAGACAACATATAGTTTAAAATATCATAATTCGATGAAATCCTTAAAAATCTGATCCAACTTATAATGCTAAATAAAAAAGTATATTAATTGGCTCAATGGATTGAATCCTTATTATTGATTTATTGAGTTGATATATTTGTAAATTAAAACTCTCATGTAAATAACTATAGGGTCCAAGATAACATAACTTAATAAAACAGTACCTCCTATTAAGATTGACATATTATAATTTAATTCTAGAGAACATTCATTTCTAAAATATTTAAAATGCTTACCTTTTATTGTATTAATAAATAAATAGAAAATAAGACAATAAATGGATTATAAAATACAAAGTTATTATAATAATCTTAAATATGCCTTAAAATCTATAAATCGATTCAAATATCTTAAAAACTATTCTTAGAAGTTGCAATATTAAGTAATTTAAGATCAAAATAAAAATAGAAATCCAAGGTACTTTTTGGATAAACAAAGTTTCAAAAAATGACAAAGGAATTAAAATACTTAAAAAAGTGGACAGTTTTAAGAATCTATAACTTTTTTTCATAATTTAGTCATCACAATAAAATAGACACATTATTTCATGTATAAACTAACATATTTCATATAATTACTTTTATAGAAAATTAAAAAATTCTTTTAATAGTTTTATATTTATTACGTTTAGTTAGATTCTTTGCTATTTGATCAGTTGCACTACAAGATTATTCAGTACCTGTATTTGATTAAATTTTCAATGGTTTCTCAAATTTTTGTAATTCATAATACATGAAAAATGTAAATACTACATAAATTCCATGAAATAAAATATAAGCTTATTAACTTAAATTACACATGGAATCCTTATTTTCATTCATTTTAGAAATATTGATTAATTCTTATTCATTTTCTGATTAATTTTAAAATCTTGTTAAAAATATAATTCCTAATTCAGAACATTAACAAGAAGCTGAGATAGATTTATTACTATTATTTTCAGAAATTATTAAATTACACTATGATAGTGAACCCTTTTCATTATACTAAACACATTAAAAATTATAGGCAGGTAAAGATGTATCTACACAATATGGGTATTAAGTGAAATCAACAAGATAATCCTTCTGTAATTTTTCATAACCAATAAACTAATTTTAGTAAAGGTAGTTTTGTAATTTGGTTTTTGTGTAATAATTCTGCTCAATTTCAATTTTAGAATAGTTAAAAAATGTTTTTATTTCTTGTAAATGTTTATTAGAGATATTTAAATAATTGAAACGTATATCTAATTATTCTTTTTAAACAAATACTATTAAACCATCCACTAAGTCTTTTTCTAAGCCTTATTATTAATTGAAAACATCTTTAGTTATTCTGGCTAATTGAAATTTTATTTTTTAACCCTCTAATATAAATCTTTAACCATTAACTGGTGCTTATACACTTAGATTGGTTCCAATTTCATCTATTAGATTAATAGATTGTTCTGATAAAGTAATTATTGAGTTTTTATCTTGATCAGATATTAAAGATGTGTCAGATATTTTTTTTAAAAGATCATCAACAAATAGAATAATAGCAGCTAATGAATTTGAAATTTATTCTTTTGATTAAAATAGTAATTCATTTATAAAGATATCATTTTATTTGATCTGAATTTCAATATTTTATTTTTCTAAAATAATGTTTTTGTAAAAATTTTTTATTTTTGAAAGTTCTTATTCAAAAGTTTTTATATCATTTGATGAATACTTTTTAACTTCAGAATGATTAATTAATATTAATTTTGTCTTATTATCATAGCAACTTTCCAAATCAATTTCAGTTAATTTTCTCTTTGAAATAGAAGGTAAATTATTGAAATCTAACATAAATCTCTTATATAGTTTTATTGTCTGAAGAGCCAATAATTAATCAAATAGAGCCTCTGAATCTATATAACTCTTAATCTATTCAAGTAATTATTCTGAAATTTTCACACAATCAGATTAATCATAATGATTCATCATGACTTCTAATAACAACATTATTTATTTTTTATAAACTAAATTCTGCATTAGAAAATCAGAGCAATTAAATTTAAATTCGGTGATATTCAGATACTATTCAATATTTGCCATTGATCCTCTAGAATCCATAATTTATATTAATGCAATTCCTTCACTTTAAGGTAAATAAGTATCAAAAGAATTAGATTTTGAAAATGTATTTAGAATCAAAGAATAATCAGATAATTAATTTTAGAAATCCTTATAATCTTAATTCTTCAAGAAATATCTTAATTGATAAGTATATGGAGAATCATCTGATTTTTCGCAACTAACTGCAATTGTATTCGCTTATAAAGCTTAGACACTTTATAATTCTAATTTTATAGAGCAGATTGGAGGTTGATTCAAAGTTAACTATAAATCGTATTAGCTAGGTATAATATCATTTGTAAATTGAGCTAAAAATTTTAAATTAAATTAATATCCCTTGTTGAACTATTAATAATGATCAAATAATCTTAAATGATATTAATAATATTATGGTTCGAGTATCTTAATTAATTCAAAATTATATATAATGGCAATCTCATATTATAGTAAATAATATCTATCTTCAAAAGGAATATTAAAGATGAATTGCAATGTTTCATAATTGTTGATTGGTCTTATTGTATATCCTTTGCTATATTAAACATCAAGTATTTTGAAATCATTATCCAAAAATACTATATTTTATTTAAATTATTATTGATATGATTATTTTGTTGCTAAAACAGTCCATGACCATATAGAATACGGCTTAACAGTTAGTTTGGGGATAATTTAAATAGAGTCTGTTTTGTTTATTTCAATGATCTTGTTATTCATATCTTTGCAAGGGCTATTTTGTGTTAAGTCAGCACAGCTAACTTCGATTGTAATTTCTTAGTCTTCATTCCATTGATATTAAGTATCAAGATCTTTACATTAAATATTTATAGTAGAATCCTTTTGATAATTTTGAATCTTATTAATGCCAAAAAATTAGCATAGTAGACCTCCTGGAGTTATTTGAATGGTTATGTTTTGAGAAAACGAAAAAGTGGTTTAGGGTTCCTTAGTTTCCATTAAGAATGTATATGCAGTTTTAGGGGATAATGTATATTTTAAGATTGTCACTTAAAAAGTACTTTCATTTATTATTTATGAAACATCTACTCTTGATGGTCTAGAATTAGAATTATTCCTATAAATTTCAACTAATGATACAGAATATTAAGACTTATCATTCTAACTTTAAGTTGAATTAGTACATGATTTTTTCTAGATTGTAAACTATAAATCAATTATTTCAAAAGTATAATAATATTTCTTACCTAACCAAAGTACAGTTGGTAATTGTCCAGAATGTGTTTAAACTTAAATTTATTACTACCCTTTTTAATTAATAAAATTTTGAAATTCAACAAAGAATGTTATTTTTGATTGTTTCGGAAGGGTTTAAATTGGAATGACTAGATCTAATAGTTATAGATTAGTTTAATGTTAAACTAATTCTTTTAGATTACCATTACCATTTTACCCTTCTACTTAATAAGACCATGCTATGTTTATTAAACTTCTTAGGCCATCATTTGTTTTTTAACTTATTAAAATGGTGTTATCATCACAGGGATTAAGTAAATATTGAGGTATATCATATGATATTAAAGGTGATACTGGGTTAAGAGGACTTTAAACTTTATTTAAAACAAATAAATTTAATTTGCTTGAGCAATCTTTATGGCCAAAATAAGAGTCAATAAATATAATTGAATCTCCTGGAAGTATTGCAGCATTAACACCTAAATTCAATATTAATTATTTATAATTTTCCTAATCTAATTTACAATTAGGATTCTTTCCTAATAATTTAATAGTTTCATCGGCTAAAAATTTATAACAAACATTCTCTTAAAACTAAGAGGAAAAATAATTTGGATTCAAATTAAAATCAAATAACACTTTGATTGAAAGTAAATCATTAGAAAAACGAATATCCAAAACAGCAACTTCACAAGCTATAAATATTAATAAAATTCATTTACTTGAACACCATGGTGTTTCTGGATGACTAACTGAATTTTAAGGACTATCACAAGTTTTTTCTTCTGATAATACCCTATTTCCATTACAAATTAAACATCCCTCTAGATTACAAGTTTTACAATTTGGATCACATTGTTAACAATCAAGACTTTAGAAATCATCATAATATCCATCTTAACAATTACAAAATGGAATATTAATACGATCACCTTTACATAATAAACAATAAGATTGATTTCCTTTACATGTTAAACATTAAAAATCACATTCTATAAATATTAATTAATAAGGATTACTTATACAATCAGGTTATCCTGCTTCAAAATATCCATCTAAACAATCACAAGTTTTATTTATTCTAATACCTTTACAACTTGTACAATTATATGATAATTTTTCACATGTATTACATTGATTTTCACATTCTATATTAATAATAGAATATAAATACATTCACATGTTTATTATTCATTTTAAAAATATCCAGATTTGCAATTACATGTAGGAATTATTTCTCTTAAATTACTAAGACATAATAAACAATTTTATGGGGATTGTGTACATGTTTTACATTAATAACTACATTTTTAACATTAAAATTAAACACCATCATCATAATATCCATCAATACAATCACAATTTTATGTAATTGATAATCTATTAGATGTACTTGATGTTTTACAACTTATACATTTATCTTTTTATGATATACATCCAGAACATTTAATATGACATTCTAATATATATAATAAATATACTTTAACAAATTTCATTTTAATCTTAATAGAAATTAGTTTAACATGGACATTTATGAATTGGTGATTAATCTATTCTATTTAAATTGATATCACAACTAGTACAATAATCATTTTTTCCTTAACATGTTAAACAAGATTTAGAACATTCTAAAATTAATAAATAAATAAATAATAATAATTACTTTCACATATTAATTATCCATTATCAAAATATCCAGATTTACATTAACATTAATTATTATTTAATATTCTTATTTATTCATTTTCATAACAAGATAAACATTTAGTTGATATTTATTAACAAGTTTTACATAAATTATTACATTTTTAACACATTTCAATACCAACATCATAGTAACCATCTAAACAAAGACATTAATTAGTATTATTATTGAACAATCTAAAATATANTGAAAAATAATTTGGATTCAAATTAAAATCAAATAACACTTTGATTGAAAGTAAATCATCAGAAAAACGAATATCCAAAACAGCAACTTCACAAGCTATAAATATTAATAAAATTCATTTACTTGAACACCATGGTGTTTCTGGATGACTAACTGAATTTTAAGGACTATCACAAGTTTTTTCTTCTGATAATACCCTATTTCCATTACAAATTAAACATCCCTCTAGATTACAAGTTTTACAATTTGGATCACATTGTTAACAATCAAGACTTTAGAAATCATCATAATATCCATCTTAACAATTACAAAATGGAATATTAATACGATCACCTTTACATAATAAACAATAAGATTGATTTCCTTTACATGTTAAACATTAAAAATCACATTCTATAAATATTAATTAATAAGGATTACTTATACAATCAGGTTATCCTGCTTCAAAATATCCATCTAAACAATCACAAGTTTTATTTATTCTAATACCTTTACAACTTGTACAATTATATGATAATTTTTCACATGTATTACATTGATTTTCACATTCTATATTAATAATAGAATATAAATACATTCACATGTTTATTATTCATTTTAAAAATATCCAGATTTGCAATTACATGTAGGAATTATTTCTCTTAAATTACTAAGACATAATAAACAATTTTATGGGGATTGTGTACATGTTTTACATTAATAACTACATTTTTAACATTAAAATTAAACACCATCATCATAATATCCATCAATACAATCACAATTTTATGTAATTGATAATCTATTAGATGTACTTGATGTTTTACAACTTATACATTTATCTTTTTATGATATACATCCAGAACATTTAATATGACATTCTAATATATATAATAAATATACTTTAACAAATTTCATTTTAATCTTAATAGAAATTAGTTTAACATGGACATTTATGAATTGGTGATTAATCTATTCTATTTAAATTGATATCACAACTAGTACAATAATCATTTTTTCCTTAACATGTTAAACAAGATTTAGAACATTCTAAAATTAATAAATAAATAAATAATAATAATTACTTTCACATATTAATTATCCATTATCAAAATATCCAGATTTACATTAACATTAATTATTATTTAATATTCTTATTTATTCATTTTCATAACAAGATAAACATTTAGTTGATATTTATTAACAAGTTTTACATAAATTATTACATTTTTAACACATTTCAATACCAACATCATAGTAACCATCTAAACAAAGACATTAATTAGTATTATTATTGAACAATCTAAAATATAATGATTCACATGTTAAACAATTTATTTTTTAATTTATACATGTTCTACAACTCAAATCACATACTATTTATAAATATTATTATAATTACATTAACACATTTTTTCATTTGTTTCATAATAACCATCTTTACATAAACATTTAAAATTATCTGGATCATAAAATCTACTAATTGGTTCACATTCAATACATTTTTATACATTTTGACATTCCTTACATGTAACATTACAATCTATTTTTATCTTATAAATCATTTACTTTCACATTTTTTAGANGTTAACAATCAAGACTTTAGAAATCATCATAATATCCATCTTAACAATTACAAAATGGAATATTAATACGATCACCTTTACATAATAAACAATAAGATTGATTTCCTTTACATGTTAAACATTAAAAATCACATTCTATAAATATTAATTAATAAGGATTACTTATACAATCAGGTTATCCTGCTTCAAAATATCCATCTAAACAATCACAAGTTTTATTTATTCTAATACCTTTACAACTTGTACAATTATATGATAATTTTTCACATGTATTACATTGATTTTCACATTCTATATTAATAATAGAATATAAATACATTCACATGTTTATTATTCATTTTAAAAATATCCAGATTTGCAATTACATGTAGGAATTATTTCTCTTAAATTACTAAGACATAATAAACAATTTTATGGGGATTGTGTACATGTTTTACATTAATAACTACATTTTTAACATTAAAATTAAACACCATCATCATAATATCCATCAATACAATCACAATTTTATGTAATTGATAATCTATTAGATGTACTTGATGTTTTACAACTTATACATTTATCTTTTTATGATATACATCCAGAACATTTAATATGACATTCTAATATATATAATAAATATACTTTAACAAATTTCATTTTAATCTTAATAGAAATTAGTTTAACATGGACATTTATGAATTGGTGATTAATCTATTCTATTTAAATTGATATCACAACTAGTACAATAATCATTTTTTCCTTAACATGTTAAACAAGATTTAGAACATTCTAAAATTAATAAATAAATAAATAATAATAATTACTTTCACATATTAATTATCCATTATCAAAATATCCAGATTTACATTAACATTAATTATTATTTAATATTCTTATTTATTCATTTTCATAACAAGATAAACATTTAGTTGATATTTATTAACAAGTTTTACATAAATTATTACATTTTTAACACATTTCAATACCAACATCATAGTAACCATCTAAACAAAGACATTAATTAGTATTATTATTGAACAATCTAAAATATAATGATTCACATGTTAAACAATTTATTTTTTAATTTATACATGTTCTACAACTCAAATCACATACTATTTATAAATATTATTATAATTACATTAACACATTTTTTCATTTGTTTCATAATAACCATCTTTACATAAACATTTAAAATTATCTGGATCATAAAATCTACTAATTGGTTCACATTCAATACATTTTTATACATTTTGACATTCCTTACATGTAACATTACAATCTATTTTTATCTTATAAATCATTTACTTTCACATTTTTTAGAGGCAATATTAAAATAATAACTAGACTTACAAATGCATTTATTTTAATTACTTAATTATAAATTAAAAGCAGGATCACATGATAAACAATATGTAGAACTACCTTAGCAAGTAAGACAAGATTAATCACAAGATATACATTAATTAGATGAATTTTCAAAATATCCATTTTGACAAACACATATATTTCCAGCTTTAAAGATTCTAAAACTATCTGCTGAACAAGTTAAACAATAATTTTCTTTATTGAAACATGTCTTACATGTTTAATTGCAAGGTAAACATTTTTTATCAATCCCTGTTTCATATGTACCATCTATACAAATGCATTTATTATTTTATAATTATTTCATTAAACTACAAGATGTGCAATTAGTGAGGGAATTCAAACATGTCTAACAAGAGTTATCACAGTATTAACAAATACCATTAATATCGGTTGTGCCTATTTAACATAAACATATTCGAGTAAGATTGTCTAAACTTTTTAATTAAGACGAATCACATTTAGTACAATTAGTAGAAGAAGTAGTACAATCTACACAATTTTAATTACACTTAAGACATTATTCTAGTCCAGCTTCATAATAACTTGAATCACAATCACATTTATTTCCATTCAAATGTCGTGTAATTGGACATGATGTACAGAAATATGATTAAGTCTTACAAGTTGTGCATTAAATCTAACATTTTTTACAAATAACAGATATTCCATCATCATAATAACCTATAAGACATTAACATATTCCTCCATTGAATACCCTAAATGAAACATTCTAATCAATGCATGTCTTACATTAATTTGAATCTTATCCTTAACAATTCAAACAGGAATAATGACATTATTAGCAAATTTCAACTCCAATATCAAAATAATTATCATAACAAAGACAAGAATTTAAAATATTGTTAAATGACCTTTTCCATTATGCTGAACATGTTTCACATTTTGTTGCTATTTAAGAACAAGTTAAACATGAATAATGACATTCTAAAGGATTAAATTTTTAATTACTCTAACAAATAGAATTTATTCCATTATCATAATAACCTGGTTGACATTAACATTAGGAATTAACTAATACTCTAAAACTTAAAGGAGGACAAGTTAAACATAAAGTATCTAATACTGCACAAGTTTGACATCTATAATTACATTCTAATATAAATGTTAAATATTACAAACGCATTTAGCTGTTCCTACATCAAAGTGATTTGTTTTACAAATGCAAGTTGTACCTTATAGATATCTATTATCAACATCCAAACAAGAATCACATTCTAAAGATAAGCGTCCAGTACATGTCAAACAAGTATAATGACAGGCTATTTTAATTTGAATATGATTACGTTGACATTGTTATTTAGTTGAACTCAGATATGTAGATATTGATAAGCCTTAAAGTTTTGTTTTGCATGCACAAGTATTTCCGTTTAAATATTTATCAGACTGACATTATGTACAATTATCTGCAGAAGATTTACATTATAGACATAAAGAACTACAGGCTTATAAATTATTAATCAAAATTAATACCTAAACATTAAGATTGTCCGTCATCAAAATATTATAAAGCACATATGCATTCGCCTTTATCATTTAATTATCTTCCAGTTAAAGGATTGCATTAAGTACATTAATTTGATTAATTACCATTACATGTTAAGCAAGTATTATGACAAACTAAATCTAAAATTAATTAGTACTTATGCATATTGGATTACCAGGCTAATCATAAGTTCTAGGAGGACACAAACAGGAATTATCAACTCCAAGATCTCTAAATGATGAATCTGGACATTTATCACATCGATCTAATGCTACAGTGCAAGAGGAACATCTATATGAGCATTCTAAGTTTTAAAGAAATATTTACTTTAACATATTTAATCACCAAATTATTTTTCTAAATAGCCATCCTTACATACACATTTATTTGCTTTAACTATTCTATTGGTTTCATTTGAACATGTTATGCAATTATTAATCTAAGTTCCAAAGCAGGTCTTGCATGTGTAATAACATTCTAAAATTATATTTAAAATAATACATTAGCATTGTAATTAACCTATATCATAGTATCCATATGGACAATCACATTTAGATATTATGAGTTATCTATAGTTTAAATCACAAGTTAAACAATTTGTTTCTTTAACTCCATTGCATGTTTTACAAGTAAAATGGCATTCTAAACATTCTAATGAAAATTCATCACTATAATAGTGTGGATCCTTGCACAAACATTTAAATGTTGAACCAATTCTATCTGAATATCTGGTAGATGGACAACTTGTACACTTATCTTCTCCTTCACTAATACAATTTACACAAGAGTGATGACAACCAACTAAAATATTGTATTTTATTCTTATTACAATAACAAACTATATCATTTTTCCCAGTGTCATAGTAAGCTAAATTACATTAACATTCATTATTCGAAGTTAAATGCCGATTTGTATCACTAGAACATGAAGTGCAATTAGTAGATAGAGGTCCATTGCAACTTAAACATGAATAATGACATTCTTAAAAATATCATATTAAATGTACTAAAACATATATCCACAATGTCATCGTCTCCATATCCATTTTTACAAATACATTTAAAATCATCAGAGACAACTCTATATTGTCCTGCTATACACATAGTGCAATATTGATTTGAAGAATTATCATATGGGAATTAACATTTTTCACATCTTGGATGACAAGCTAAATTCTTTACAATATATTTACGTTGACATAATGTTTATCCATCACTTTAGTTGATTGCAATTGTTCGTTAAGCGCAAATACATTATCCACTAATCAATTATTTGTAATAAATATTTGGATCTCCACAATCAGTACAATCTGTATCATATGGTCCTGAACAATTATAACATGAAAGTTAACATTCTATAATTTTTCATTTTTTATTTATACTTTAACAAATTTTATCTTCTAATCCAGTATCATAGTATCCTTATAGACATGAACACTTGTTTCCAACAAGACCTCTTTTTAGTAAAGGATCACAAGATGTACATTCTTCAAATTTTAAAGTGCATGTTAAACATAATCCAGTTTTGCAAAGAAGACATACTCCATTTAAATCAGCATATCCAGCAAGTTAATCACAAACACATTTTCCTGGAACAATTCTTGCGGTTAGTTTCTTCTGATAAAAACAGGTTGTACAATAATTGGCATCTGTTACTAAACAAGTTTGACAAGGTAAATTGCATGTACCAGTATAAAGAGCACACTTTTTATTAGGAGTTAAATAGTGTGTTGCAAAACAACCTTTACATTCATTAGCATTATCACAAATAAAACATTTTTCTAATCCTGGTTACTCTTAACAAGCTATGATAATTAATGATATTATTACAAGCACATCGAGTTCCTTTTTTAAAATATCCAACATCACATTATTGACAATTAGTACCAATTGGTTTTGCTTAAGAATCATATACATAATCATATTTCATGCAATTCCTATCTTCAAAACATAAAGAATTTTCTAAAGAATACGGCCACATACACTATGAACAAACTCCTGAATTACAAATTTTACAATTACTTGGACATTCTAAATATAGAAATAAATATCATACAAATGCATTGTCCATTTTTTAATTCATAACCATCAATACAACCATTGAATGTATAAGTAGTTCCACTTTTTTAACAAGTTTTATGACCTACTTAACATGCTAATAATAATAATAATAATAATCTACCTAATGAACATTTATAATCAGTACTACTTAATTTAGAATGACCATCAATACATGTAGCACATTTCGTATTGGTAGAATCACATGTTTTACAATATTGACCGCATTCTTTCAAATTAATTAATATTTTTACAAAGTGCAGTAGTAGAACTTGCACAATTTTCACCATAATTTGTTCCACTACAATATATGCATTTATAAACTCCAGAATATTGTTGTCCAATTATGCAACCATAATCATATAATATAGATTAATCCTCAGTTGTAAAAATTAAATTCCCATTTTGATCATAAGAGTAGACCATAATAAATGGCCACCATCCTAACAGTAAATGTGTATCATCATTATCATAAAGTATATATCCTTTTATCTATGGATGACACACAACTTCTTCCTCATTAATTATCAACTATTTTAGTTCTGTTGTCCCATCACAATCCCTTGGAACACCTAAATATATATATATATCAATTACCTGCACACATATGAGGATGAATACCTGGCCAATATTAATGAGAACCAGGACATTAACGTTGAAATATCTCTGGATTAAACTCATTCTTAAAAGATCGAAAGCATAAACCCTCAAAAAATAACTAAATTATGACTAGGCCATGAATAAAGTTCATTGTCCAAATATATTTTGATGTTTTTAATATTGGTATTTTAATGTTTAAGAGAAGAATTTAAATAATATAATTCATATGGATTTAATTCAGCTTAATTACCATGTGTAACTATGATTTCATAGTCTTTTTTGAAAAGATATTCATATAATCATTTTAGTTTTATTTTTTTTTCTATTTATCTACTGTATATTTGGAAACAACATTTCGGATGACTATTATCTATGTTACTATCATAACTTTCCAAAATATTAGAGAAAATTAAACTTTCAGATATTAAAAACATTTGTTTTAAATTCTTAGGATTTAGAGAATTTTGCTATTTTTGAGCAAGCACTTTTATGATTGCGCTCATATTGATAAGTTTCCATTAGATGGTAATAGTAACCTAAATATAAGAGTACCTTTTTATTTTCTAAAAATTATTATTATTACTTTCTCCTATTTGTATTTCTTAATAATTGTTGAAAACTCTACATAAAGATCTTTCATATCAATTATTATTATTTTCAAAAAAAATATATTCAGATAGGTAATTTTTATTATTGTGAAGAAAAAATATTTATGTAAAAATTAGTTGATTTAAGAATGATCTTACCTTATAATTATTTCGTTATTAGACAGCTTTTTTTAATTATGTTATAGAATGTATTTTATAAGAGGCTCAAAGTAATTGGTTTCATCATGTCGTAACTTTCATAAAAATATCCTAATACAATAAAAAACCGATAAAATAAAAATCAAATAAAAATAAGATCATAATATAGTTTTCAAAGTTAAACAGTAACTTAAAAATAATAATCTTCAATCTTTTGATTTCATTATAATTTATAATTAAAAACTTTAATAAAAAAATAAATACAATATATATTTTATAATAATTTATTTAAAGAATTTCAAGGATAATTAATATAATTTAAACTATTAAATAGGTTCTAAAAACTTTTGATATGATTTTTATTTCTCATTTTTTATGTTAGAATAATCTAAATAAATTTATTCATTTATGTTTATAAATGATTACTTTTTAATTATAATAAGGAAGTCTTGAAATAAATCCTAAAAGAATAGTTACTTTAGCACCATTAAAGAATAAAAAATAGAATGGAGACCATAGATACTAAATAAAATAATAAATTCTGGAAGAAGTAAAAAGAAGCAAATAATAATATTAAAATGAATTCAATGACTTATAATAAATCCATTCAATATAATACACAGAAAGATTTGCAAGAAAGGATTACTTATTTTATTAAAAGAAAGCTAAGTTTAAATAAAAAGCCTTATCTTGTTCAAATAATAAATGTTCATTTATGTCTATAAGTAAAGTAGCTGATTTGCCACCAATATTAGATTGGAGAAGAGAGAATAAAATACTAACACCAGAATATTCAGAAAATGGTGATTTTATGAGTTATGTAAGAAAATAAGTTATCAAAAATGGTTAAAAATCACTTGATTGATGATTGATTTACAATTCATATATTATTACTTTAAATAAGAGAATAATCATATTATAATAATGTACAAGTTCATATATATATATATATATATTGATAATAATAATTCATTTTTATTTAAAAATAATTCAACTAATTTTATATGTTAAGTGTAAAAGAATTCAAGAGTACAGCAATTACAGAGACAAAAGGATAATGTGGTTTTGATATCAGTGGAAATAAAGCATTGTTGGCTTGGAATTAGTGCTTGGTGGAGTATGATTTAATTGAGCATAAAAAAACCGCGGAAACTGTACTTGAGTCTAATATGTTGGCTTTGGCAATTCATCCTTTAAATTCATAATTTTTTGCTATTGGAGATATGAGAGTAGATACATATGATGATATTCAAATGACTACACCATCTCTGATAGTCACTTTAACAGGAAAGGTTATTCAGATCAAATACAATAAGAATGGTAAAATAATGGGAATAGCTACTGAGGAAAATTCATTAATATTGAATAGAGATAATAAAATATCAAGATGTAAACCTGGACATGATGGAATGATATTAAGTTGTTCTTTTGATCCAAAAGATAGATTTGTATGCAGTATTGGTTGTGATGGTTGTTTGATAGTATATTAACTATCATAAATACCATAATTATTATAGAGATATACAATTAGTAAATAAATATCACCAGATACATTCTAAAAATTATAATCAGATTTCCATCCTTCAGGTAATTCATTTTGGATTGCTGGAAAAATCAATGCATAATATATAATCACTTAGGATGAACCTTAAGATTTATAGTAGCAATATTAGATTTTACATTAGAGTGAAATATGTATTATAAAATGGATACAAGATAATTGTGTGGGATCTTGTTCATTAGATGGTGAAATAAAATTATGGAATTTTAAATCCTTGACTGATTTATCCTTACATTGGCAATTTAATATAAAATGTACTCCATTATATATGATAATAATGTAAAATATATTCTATTTATTTGATTGTAATGGAAACTTAATTGAAACTACTGTAGATCCTCCATTAACAGTGACTGAGGCAATATATAAAGATAAAAATATTGCATTCAAAGATTTATTAAATTAGAAAGCCAAGAAATATAATAATTAGAGAATAGAAGAGGAATTATTAGGAGATGAGAATGTTAAAGAGAATTTAGATGATTTAGATGGATTTATAAAAGGGAATGAAATAGAGAAAAAATAAAAGTAGAATACTGATGCAGGAATGTAAGATATATTGAGACCAGGTGAAACATAATTATCAAGAGGGAGATAATATTTGTGTTATAATACAGTAGGTACAATAATATTATGTTAAAATACTAATATGATAGAATTTGAATTTTTTGATTCAACATTTTATAAAAAATTTAAAATGAGTAATTAATAAAGATATGCAATTGGTACATTAAATTATAGAGGATGTGTATTAGCATCAAAAGGACCAAATGATTTAGATGATTAAGGATATTTGATAGGGGATGGAAGATCAATAGTGTTTTTCTAATAATTTATAGGTGATGTAGATGATTTTGAATTTTAATTACCTGAAGAAGAAGGAGCAGAACTTGTAACAATAGGAAATGATTGGTTTGCAATTATGAGTGATCATGGAATATGTAGAGTAATTTCATTTTGTGGTTTAGAATTATTATAATTTAATACAAATAGAGCAATTGTATCATTGTGTTCATATGAACATTTATTATGTATAGTATTTCATGATACTTCTCCAATGTTAAATTAATAAGTTTTAAAAGGGAGAGTGTATGATATAGATTTGTAAAAATAAATTGAAGAATTTGATATCTTCCTTACTCCTTTCTCTTCACTCTCTTGGATTGGATATTCTGATGAAGGATTATTGAGTATTTAAGATTCTAAAGGAGTGATTAGAATTTATCAAAATAGTAAATGGATAGAAGTTTATCATAATTCTAGATTTTGGTTGTATGGAATATAAGATTATAAATTATGTTTATTAAAGACAGAATAACCATTAGCATCAATGAAATAAGAGATGATTTAATAGACTTTTGAATAACCATTTTTATGTTTCTCTTAAGATGAGAAATTGATTAAAAATTATAGACAATTTCTAACCTAATTGATTATTTTAAATCATGAATTATATAGATGGAATGAATTTGGTAAATACTATTATGCTAGAAATGATGACAAATAAAATGATATACTTCTCAGATATACATAAAATCTATATGATTCTAATAAAATTGAAGAGACTTAAAAATTATTAAGGAAGTTTAGAGTTGATTTATTTAAATAGATTTTAAATGAATCTAAAGACAAAGCTATAGAATTCTTTAGATGTCATATTAAAGATGAATATGATATGAATTCTATAATCAGTTTATTGGAATTACAGAAAGAAAAGTAAACAACCAATAAGGAATTATAAAAATTATTGACTCATATCAAATTGTTATAAAGAGTAAATAATTTTATTTATATTCTTAGTAATAAATAATAAAGCAATAGTAGAATTTTGGTATTGACAAAAGACCTTAATCACCAAAAAGATAAGGATTTGGTCTGCAAAAGTAGAATGATTAAGTGAATATGAATTAAATAAAGACTATTTTAGAATAAAGAGAATAATAACAGTAACATCATCATCATCAATAATAATAATAATAAAATCTATTATAATAATAAATATAATCATAGAGAATTGAGAGTTAATAAGATGAAGATGAATTCAATCCTTTTGCAAAATCTGGAAATAAAAAATAAAGTAGCATTTTTGATATAGGAGAGAAAAGGAAACCTACTTAGACGTTTGGGACATAAAATATTAAAAAAAAGAATTGATTATATTTAATATATTTTTATATATTGATGAGTCGAAATCAATCACCAAGGAGATTTTAAAATGTGTTAGATAAATGGCATTATAGTAAATGTTCAGAAATCAAGATACATTTCTTTATGAAGAATCTCTATATGGGGAATTAAACAGAGGATCAATTTCTTAATTTTGTAAAAGATAGAGTATAGAAGGCGGTAATATGATTATGATGAATAGGGTCCTTGCGAAGTGATTTAAATAACAGATAAGAATTAGAATGAAAGGACTATTGATATAGCCATAGGAATGCGATATGATAATGATGCCAAATTGATATATATAGGAAAGAAACATATCAATTTACTATCAAAACATTAAAGTGAAAAGAAGATCATTCCATAATTCAGTGATGTATTTTTAATGATGCTAAGGGTATTCAATTACATTTATTGGGATTTTAGGAAAAGGGAGAAGTTGATAAATCAGCATTAGAAGAGAAATTAAGATAGTAGAGATTTGGAGATAAGAAGAGAGATAGATCAAGTAGTCAAGAATCATCAAAATCAGAAAGTCCAGAGAAGAAGAAGAAAGAGAATGCAATAGTCTTAAATTTATAAGTGATTCCATAATAGAAGACAATTACTGCTCCTATAGTTGATATCTAACCTGTATAATTAACAAGTAATGAATTAATTGATATATTATTAGTTCCCAAGGAAACTATTTATATCTTTGGGATTCCATTAGAATTTAATTTATAAGATTGTTTAATTGATATTAAAAATAGATTGAAATTATAGTAATTACCAGATGGAACATTTAAAAGTGAACAATAGTAAGATCATATTTTTGAATATTTGGAAGTGCAATTGGAAATGTTGTAAAAGAATGTGTAATTAAAAATTAAGAATGTGCCATGTTTAATATGCTAGAAGAAAAAGAAGACTGATTCCTTTTCAGATGTACTCAAATAATATTAATTATTCATTAAAACACAACATCCAATAAATACAAACAAATTATTGAGTATCTTCCAATAATATGGTGATATCATTGGATTATATGAATTATTAGTTAAGTAAGTTAATTTCATCTATTTTATAGTCAAGAAGAAACCTCTAATTCTTATTGCATAGTATATACATCTGATCAATTTATTAAACAATTGAAACCTCCTGGATAAATTGAGATTCCTGAAGAAAAGACAATTTGTGAATTTAGAATACCTGATTAAAATGTAGTTTCATTTCAACGAATTCCCTATAAAAGTACTTTACATGCTTAAATCACAAGAGATTCTAGTAGTTCAAGTAGTAGTAGTTCATCATCATCAGTAATCTATTTATTATAATTAATAATAGTCTTCACGGAGCAGAAGTGATAGTAATCCAAGAAAAAAAAAATAATACAGTATATATCTATTATTATATATATAATTTTAGATAAAAATAATTATAACAACAATCGAAAAAGATAAAACTATAGGAGAAACAATAATTATTATGATAATTGAGATTAGGTTAAATATATTAAATATTGATTTTATTTTAAGATATAATTCATCATCATTATTTCTTTTATTATTATTATTATTATTATTATTATTAAATTTATTATACTTACAACACTCGTTTCTATAATTCAATATTTAATTTATCCATGAATTACTTTTTCTAATTTATGATATTACTCAATTTATCTTGTGATTCTTTCAATAATTATAATTTTCTATCACAAAAATGTGATCCCTATTCAGTATTACGCTCTACAAAATATCCTGTTCCGTAATCTATCATAATTGATTATGGATTAATCAATCTTCCTCATTATGTTATTTAATTTGTACCTGGTACATAGAGTGATGCAGTAATGGGTACTAATAGATCATTATCTTTAGGGGTTTAATCTAATCTCTTTAAAATGACTTTGCTTTCTTCATATTTAGCATTTGCAATTCTGAATTAAGATAATGATTAACTGAGTGATTGGACTTCCTATTTTATAGAATAATGTTAAACCTCTTCTATTTGCTTTTTAATCTACAACAATTATTGAGGTGTCAATTTATCAAGAGGGATAGCTTTCTGTTCTTCTTGTTATTGACTCATCACAATTTAAATATATAAATTTTAATGTCTGATTCTGAAGAAGAACAAGTGAAACAAGCCCCTATTATTAAGCCTCATTAAAAATAACAAAAGGACTTCTATGCTGAATAATTGTAAGCCAATGAAGAAGCAGAATCATAAGCTCCTTTGTTGGTTGTTGTATAAGGACCAAAAGGTAGTGGTAAGACAACATTGATAAAATCACTTGTGAAACATTACACAGGATAGAAGATAAAGAAATTAGTAGGTCCAGTAACAGTTCGTTCAAACAAATAACATAGAGTAACATTTATAGAGTGTCCAAGTGATATCAATGCAATGAGTGATTTAAGTAAAGTGGCAGATTTAGCATTGATATTAATTGATGCAAGTATAGGATTTGAGATGGAAACATTTGAATACTTAAGTTTGTTAAATAATCATGGTTTTCCAAATGTAATGGGTGTGTTGACTCATATTGATTTCTTTAAAGACAATAAATAATTAAGAAAAACAAGAAAGAAGTATAAAAAGAGATTTGAATATGAAACTGGTGGCAATTATAAATTGTTCTATTTGTAAGCTTTAAAAAATGAATACTATTTGAAATAAGACATTCACAATTTGGCACGGTTTATATCTATTATTAAAATTGCACCAGTTAGATGGAAAACAGAACATCCATTTATATTGGCAGATCGTTATGAATAGGGTAAAGATAATACTACAACCTTTTATGGATATGTAAGAGGATGTACTTATAGATTAAATGATAGAATTCATTTTGTAGGATAAGGAGATTACTATATTGAAAGTTTTGAAGAAGTTTTGGATCCAGTTGAAATCATAACAACTTAGAAGAAACATCGATCTTTAAAAGATACTGAAAAATTGGTTTATGCTCCCATGTCTAGTGTAGGTGCTTTAACTATTGATGCTACAGCAGGATATATCACAATCCCATAACCAATATTCACAGAAAAAAATAAATTTGTTAATAATGAAGAGTAGGATGATGAGGATATAGAAGAGTAAGAATAAGAATAGGAATTACCTGAAGGTGTAAGGATGGTCAGAGAATTATAACAATTAACTGAAGGAATTGATAAATAATTAGAGGAAGAAGAAGATGCATAATTATTGGAGGGATTTGAGTTGGAAGAAGACTAACCTATCAAAAAGAAAAATAATTTATAATAGATATAATAACAAAGAGAATTAGTTAGATTAAAGAATAGAGTTAATATAAAAATTGAGAATGGAACTGTTATGCCTATTTCAGATACTCTACTAGCTACTGATTTACATGAATTAATATATTAAAATAAGAATGGTATTAATGAGTTTGATAGTGTAAGATACATACCTAAAATTTAAGATAGAGATTCATATAGGGAGATTAAAGAATTATTTGTGACAGGATTTTATGGATAGAATGATGTTGTAGATTTGGAAAATTTAGAAAAATAAATAGAAGTGGAAGAATAAGAAGAATAAGAAAAAGAATAAGAAGAATAAGAAAATAAAGATAATAATTAAAAAGATGATAATTAAAAATAAAAAGAAAATTAATAAGAAAGATAATAATTAGTTAATGAATTAACTAATTCAAATCTAGGATTATATAAAAAAGGCATTTATGTCAAAATAGTTATTAAAGATTTCTCCTCTTCTATTAAAGATGATTATCCTATGATTCTTGCTAGATCTGAAGTTGGGGAAGATAATTTAGGATTCATCAAGGTATATATTCTTTTCATATATATTATAGATTAGAATTAAAAAGCATAGATGGCATAGCAACATTTTAAAATCTAATGATCCTATCATCATCTCTCTTGGATGGAGGAGATTTTAAACTATTCCTATTTATTGTGTATAAGATCCTAATGATAGATTACGTTTCATTAAATATACTCCAGAATATGACTATTGTTATGCTATATTTTATGGTAATTTTGCACCTTAAGGAACAGGTCTTGTTTGTACATAATCATTAAGCAATAAATTAGTATATATATATAAATCAATATTATATAGTCTAAATTTAGAATTGCTGCAACTGGAGTAGTCTTAGAGATGAATCATTAATTTGATGTGATGAAAAAGTTAAAGTTGGTTGGAGAACCTTTTAAAGTTATTAAAAATACTGCATTCATTAAAGGAATGTTTAATTCTTCTTTCGAAGTAGCCAAATTTTAAGGTGGTCTCATTAAAACTGTGTCTGGTTTAAGAGGACATATTAAAAAACCAAGCAAATTAGGTCCTGATGGTAGTTTCAGAGCTACTTTCGAAGACAAGATTCAAATGAGTGATTTAGTCTTCTGCAGGACTTGGGTCAGAATGCATATAGAAAGATTCTATAGACTCATTACAAGCAATGTTAAATTGATGAAGACTATGTGGGAATTAAGACAAGAGAAATAAATTCCATTAGAATTCAAACCAGAATCTACTTATTAAGATCAGGAGAGAGTACCTGTAAAATTTGCTCCTTTGAGAATACCCAATAATTTGTAATAAAATCTGCCTTTTGAAAGCAAGGAGAAGGTATTTAAATGTAAAAATGGTTTTAGGTTAAATCGTTATCATTCAGAGAGAGATTGCGATAATAGGTGGAAAAGAATTTACCTGTTAAGAGCAATATGACTGATAAGGAGAAGGAGGTTTATTCATTAATTTAAAGATTGAATACTATTAAGAATGAAAAGGAGAAGAAGAGAGAATAGAAGGATATACATAAACAGAAGATCAAGGAGGCTTAGTTTAAAGGATAGAAGTAACATTTAGAAGAAGGAAAGAGGAAATATAAGTAATAGAAACAGAAGGATAAATTTATAAAATAAGTTAAGAAATAATAATAGTAGTAATGAATTATGTGTATATTAAATATATAATTAAATGAAGTATGGTTCTCCTAAAGTTTCATCAAATACAATAGATGTATTGGATGAAACATTGTCTCCTCGAAAATCTATTCAACCTTATGTAAGAGAGAAAAGGAGTAAGAGTAGTTAGGTGAAGGATTTCCCATATTAAAATTAATTGTTTGATAAAGTTGATAATAAGATTAAAGCATACTTGCAAAAGAATCAAGTCAATTATGAAAAGACTCTAATTAAGTTATATAAATTGGACTCCCTTAAAAGTGATAAAGCAAAACGATTGTTAGGAGAGCTAAATCAAACTAGAAGGAAATCATAATTCAGTGCTGTTCATTAAACAAAATCCATGTAGAATTCTCATCCATCTCTATAAAGAGAAAGAAATAATAGTCTACCATCTTCAAAGCAAATGCAATTAGATCTTAAATAAATTTAATAGGAATTAAAAAAAATCAATCCTGATATCCAACATAAAGGATTAATGAATCTCTCAGTATTTAAATTTAATCAATCAAATTGTGCTCGTTTAGAATAAGATGAGTGGGAAAGGGTTGCTCTTTAGTATCCATATAAAATTAGACCTAAGATGACTAATTTTTAATAAGAAATAGATAGATTAAACAGTTATTATTCAAGAAACGAAAACTGTTTAAATCAACTAATGTAAATCTAAAAAGATCTACTGCACTATAAATTGCTTTAATAATGATATTTATCTATATATATATATATATACTCAGAAATGATCTGGAAAAAGACACAATATTAAATCTCTAGTTTATGGAAATTATTGAAGGATATATATTATTTTTTTTTTTAATTCTTCCATGTCTTATACTCTTTCACTTAGATATTTATATTCATCAGAATTTTAATTAGTAATCATTGTTTCAATAATATTTGATAATTTCTCTTGATTGTTTGGCCAAGTATCACATAACTAGTTAGTTTAAATTCTCAAATTACTTTCTTAATATAAGTATATAATGCTTTCTCATATGTTTTAATATCTCCATCAGACCAAAATATTTTTAATTGTTCTTCCAATTTTGATATTTATTGAATATCATTGATTGCATCTTCAATAGTAGTCTTTTAAATTAATCTCTTATATATTTAAGCATCATTATAAGGAGGTGTTTAATATTAATTAAAATTGAATTTTTTTAAATTCTTAATATCTTAATTTTGATTGCTAATGAATATAAATTAATTAATACTTCACATCAATTTATTTAGTTTTAATCCATTGTCTTAATTACTTATGATAAGTATAAACACAATAATCCTTAAATAAAAATTCAACTAATGGATATCCTTCAGTATCAATTTTAAGATTTGCTTTTATTAATGGATCAATGCTTTATTTGCCTTTCTTTTCATCTTCATTTAATAATTATTTTTTATCCATCCATTCATAGACATGTTACATTAGAATTTTGATATCTCCTTCATAAGAAATAGTTTTAGAATTTAAATTGATTACTTTAAATTCTCCAGTATTTTGAAGACATAAGATATGATTTTTAGGACTCAATACAATCTAACTTAAGAATGGTAAAATAAATGGTGCTTCTTATCTCATTCCTTTATGATTTTCAATATAAAGTAAAGCTTAATCAGTGTAAATAATAATAAGATCATCATTATATTGAATAGTCTTTACTTAACCTTCTACATAATCAATCCATTTTGGTGTATTATTTTCAATACATCTAATTAAAGTACCATAGACAGCTTAATTGAATATCCTTTATTATTATTTTTAGACTTCCAATAAGAGTATTTTGTTATTCATTGAAAAAGAGTAACTTTTAGGTAATACTTCATATTATTAAATAACCAATAATGGTTATTATTATTCAACCTTTTTAATAACAGGTTCAGATGAATTCACATCCAAAGGTATTAATTTTTTTTTACCATCTACAATAATTTACTTAAATTATGTTTATGTTGGTTTAGGAATTTCTCTTTATTATATTGCACTATCAGGTATTTAATTTTTTAATTCATCTTATACATTGATTTTTTCAATCTACATATCTGCAAATTTAATATTTTCATTATTAATTTTAGGTTAATAAAATCTAATTTATTTAATAGTATTTTTTAGATCACCATATAAACTTTTAATTACTTACTATTTCTCATTTTCACCTAATACTTAACCTAAACTCAATTGAAAATCTATAACAATTATATATTTTTTAGAAGTTGTAGCCATTAAAACTGTTCCTTATTGATTCCATGTAATATCTTCTATTAATTCTCCTGCCTTTTTATGACCCTTAACCAATAGAAATGGTTATTCATCAATTTAATTCTCATTTATTTACCATAAACTTATATTACCATCATTGTCACCAATTGCAAATACACTAAAATATTCATTAGAATTAGAATTCTTAAATAACATTGGTGAAAATCGAACAACATTTATTGATGAGAATGGACCTACAATAGTTCTAACAACTTAAAAATTCTAATTTCTATCTAAAATTGCTACTGTTGGAATTGTCTAAGTATTATATAATAAATACTTTATCATCTAAATTTGGAACTGCCAAATATCTACAATCTACACTCCAATCAAGTTTTCTGTCTTCTCTTTTGGTTGTACATTATTTTCCTTATATTTGGAGGGAAACTGTGATTTCTTGTTTCCAATTATCAATTTTATAAAAATTAACCTTTATATATATAATATATATGAATACTGTGTTGTCAAATTTCAAGGAAACTATATATTTGTCAAAGGGATCCCAACATATTCCAACTGTTTTTTAACCACAATCTATTTTATGTTGGATTCCATCTTATTTAATATGATAAATAAAGATATTTCCATCTAATGAAGCAGTAGCTATTCTTTAATCATCAGGAGACCAACATAATGCTGTAATTTCCAATTTATGTCCTTAATAGGTACGATATATAGATAAATTGCCGCCATTGAATTACCAAACAATCAATTTATCATTACTTGTTGCTAAATAGAGTCCAGATGGAGACCATGCTAATTAAGAGATCATTCTCTTTTCCATTTTACCAATTTAAATAGGATGCAAATTAAATTATGCATCCACTTCATTTAATAGCAACCAATCTTCTTCTTCACCACTCCCTAATGCTAATATGTTCTTTTTTGATAAACTCAACGATTTCAATCCAGTCGTAGCTTCTATTATGCTAGTGTATTTGATTCTTACAGACATATTATTATTTATAATAAATCAATTGATAATTTGTTTCTGATTCTTTTTCATCAATGACTATACAACTGAAGAATGAAAGAATCGATCAGCAAACGAATTCATCACTTATGGTGATTACTATTGTTTATTAAAGTGAGGATGATATCCATCAAAACCTTTAATCTCTAAATTTCGAGGACTAGTTAATGGTAAATTTTCTATCCAATTCTATGGTAACGAGAATTAATTCTTATGAGTAGTTTGACGAACCAAAGATTGAGATTCTACTGGAAATGGTCCTCTATTTATAAACATTAATTAAAAATACAGAGGTTTAGGTATAATAGGATCTTGTTTCTCATATTTCTGAGTCACAAAATTACGAGAATAATTGGTTTCAGCAATAAATGGTAACTTTTTATCACTTTATACATAAAATGGTCCAATGATACCATGATATTATTTTTTCCAATCTCTATAATTAGCTGTATAGGATGATAAACATGACATTGTATTCTAATTAGGTATATGATCAGGCTTAAAATTATCTGATTTCTCAAATCTTTGAGGTACAAAATGTTACTTGTTTATGACTAAAGATTTTGTACATTATATGTGCTTGAATTTTACAACAAGGATGCTGTTTGCTTTGCTCTCTCATATATCCATCTATTAATATATGTGGAATCTTTCATAAATTTATCATTGTAATCATCAGTATATTATGTACTATATTTACTCTTACATCCAAGTTTCTTGTTCTTTAAGGATCTAATCTCCATCTCTTATAAATATAGTACTTATTATTATATCATATTTCATACTTAATAAATCTTAAAAGTAATCTTAATTCTATATAATCACATCCTCAATACTTTAATCACCAACTTAGAGATCTCTCCAAAGTTAATGATCAGGAGGGAATATCTCTTAGATATTCATAATAAGATCACTCAAATTAGTTTTGGATGATTGTTCTGATATCACTTACTCCTTCTTTTATAGAGATGGTAATATAATAGGTTTTTGTTCTTCAATCATTATCTTATCTCCTGTATGTTATTATTCTGTATCTATTTTCTTGGATTGATAATATAGTTTCTGAATGTCTGGACTTACATTTGAAGATAATAATTGATTCTTCAATTTTACAACTCTTCTCTTTTTAGGTTTCAATTCATTTGTAACATTGCTCTTATTACTTTATTCAGTGAACTCTGATCGTGATAATTTTTATTTATCACTTATTCTTTAGAAATCATTTGATGTTAAGATCTTTTGGATTTTATCATCAATTATCATCTAATTTAATTTATTTATATATATATATATATATTAATAAGATAATCATTAGTAATTACTTCTATTATTCTTTTTTATATTATTAAATCTATCTTTAAATTTACATCTATTTATATATCTCAAAAGATTTATACTATTTTATCAATATAAAATATAATTTTCAAAAAATAAATATTATTTTTGTATTATTTATATTATACTCTAATTTCCTTATGTCAGATATCAAAAAGAGATCTCTCTCATTATAAAACAATGTTATCTTTACAGCTGATTGTTATTAAAGATCTGAATGTTCACCTGAAAAACTTAAGAGAAAATCTCAAAGATCATAATAAACTATCATTTTAAGTACTCCTGTAAGTCTTTGTCCTAATATAAGGTTAAAACTGTGGAGAAGCATAATTCTAATTTATTTGAAATTTATATAGATGGAAACTAGACTGTTAAAGAAGGATGGTTGTATTAAAGTAAAAAGGTTTATATAGTACTCACAAGACAGTCAATAAAAGAATTTAATGATGAATAAAAAACTTCTTTAATAAAAGTTATATCTCTAAAGGAATTTGAATTCAATATTTAATAGGATAAATAGTTTATTAAAATATAGTTTCCTCATTTACATTAAATAATTACATATTAAGCTAAAGATGCTGTTGAGGCTAAGATGTGGGTTGGATGTTTAAATATTGTATTAGATAAACATAGAAATCATCCAAAATATTAATTATAATTATAAGAAGTATAAAAATACTTTGGAATTAATGTAATTTCAGAAGATTATTTTTTAAAAATAGTAGAAACTGGAGATCTACTTCTTTTTGAAACCAATAACACTGGAGCTAAATTATAAAGAGTATTTACAAATACCAAATATGATCATGTAGCAATTGCTATTAAAATGGCTAACAAATATGTATTTGTATTTGATGCCAATGCAGATACTGGAGTTACATTTATGGAATGGTCATAATTTATTGAAGTTAATGATCTTTATGAGAAGTAATCTTAGAATTTTATTATTATAGATTAGCAATCAGAAAACTTATAGGTGTTGATAGAATTTAAATAGAAAAAAAGTTGATTGAATTCTTATAATAAGTTCATGGAAAGAAATATGAAGTAACTTTCAGTAAACTCTTTAGATAAAAGAGTTTAAGTCCATCTAAATCTAATGAAAGTTTCTTTTGTTCAGAATTAGTAGCTAAAGCATTTAAATATTGTGGATTGTTAGAATCAGATAAAGCTAGCAGTTCATTCTTACCTGTAGAATTTACTAAATAACTTAAATTAACTAATCAAACATAGATTACTGATGATATTGTTGTAATACTCAAAAAACATTTAATTAAATGAATAAAGATTTTCATTCTTTATTTATTATATACATAATTATATATATATATTTATATTCAATAAATCTCTGGTTAATTTCCTAATTTTTTCTAGGAGTTTAATAATCTAAAATAATAATAAACTAAATATATATACGGTTTTGAATAATAGTTTTTAGTATTTTATTATGATTAATTATTTGAACTTTAAATTTAATATTATTATTGAATATCATACAATTATCTCTATGTATTTTATTATTCATCTGCTTATAATCTTATTTATCTCTTTTTATTCGTACCTTATAATGATGAGACATATGAAGGTACATAACCACAATCTAAATCGTCTTCAATATTATTTTAAACCACATTTTAAGAAGTAAAGTTAAAATTTGGTTTAGTATGATGATTTATAAGATTTTGATTATTTTCTTGTTTCCCAAATCCTTTTGAAGCTTTTGCAGGAGTCTACTAAGGACTTATTAGATATTTAGTATCATCTTTTAATTCCAATTCTTTAGGTAGAAATTTGAATGGTTACGATAACCAATTTGATTATAGAATTTCAACAGCAGTTATTCTCTAATGTGGATCTTCTTCAAGCATACTTTTAATTAAATTCAAAGGTTGTGGAGGAATAAGTTTTTAATGTTAATTCAAATTTAGATTTTATATCTGATAAAGTTAATCAATTTCTGTAGTTCCAGGTATTAAGGGATTTAAGAGATATAATTCTGCAAGTATACAACCTAATGCCCATATATCTACTTCTTGATTGTATTATTCTTACTTAATTTATTCTGGAGACTAAATCAATGATAATTATAACATACCCGATACCATCGAGTGGAAACATAGTCAGTATGTTATTCATTTTAATATGTAACTTATCCAAAATCTATTAATTTAACAATACCATTATCTTAAATCATAATATTTTCTGGTTTTAAATCCCTATTATTAATGAATTGTTATACCTATGCAAATATCCTTGACTATGGAGATAATTTAAGGCACTAGCAATTTAGTACACAATGCTTTGTATTTGTTATTCACAAAGAGTTCTATTTTTTTCTTTGACAGATTTATAATATTATAATAGGTTTCTTTCTGAATAATCAAGTACAATAGCTATAGTTTTATTTTGTTTGATAACATCTCTTAATTTAATAATGTTTGGATGATTAAGTTTTTTAAGGATTTGGATTTCTTTAATTTTGGATTCATCTTTGATGGAGTTGTCTCTATAAGATTTGATAGCAACAAATTCATGAGTTCTTTCATCAAGGGCTTTAGTAACACTGCCAAAAACACCATCTCCTAATTTTTAGATTATTTTATACATTTTTAATAATTAAATAGTATATAAATAAAATTTAGATGTTTTTGTTTTGATGTTAAATACTATAAGAAATATATTTATATATTGAAAATATAATTGAAATGGAAAATTAATTGAAAATATTTTAAGAAGAATTATAAGAATTACTAATCAAATCATAATTGAATATGAGGAAGTTAACTATTAATAATATATAATTATCTGATCTAATGAAAACATCAGCAAATGATTTACATTAAGCAGTAGAAGAGAATACTGATAAAGTAAATATGTAAATTAAATAATGTATGTAAATGTAAGATGAATTCTTACAAATAGAAGCATTATAAAAGAAAGTGTATAAAAATAATATTAATAATAAAATAGAGAAATCTTTAGATTGATAGTAGAAGATGTATAGAAAAAGAAAGAATAAGAATATTAGAGTTTATTAAAAGGATGATTAATTAAAAATAAATATATACATCATCATCATAATTTAATCTCATTATAAGAGTTTATAAGAATAATATAGATATGTATATTAATATATATATATATATAATTAATCAATGTTTTTTATTTTAATAAAACTTGGTAATTTTTTGAACATTAGGAAATTCATTTATAGATTCTTCATCTTCTTCTTCTATTTATTTAAATGGTTATGTTTTTTTGATATTTGTACTTATTTAATCAGTTGTTTAACCTCTTTATTATTTTCTAAAAGTAGAAAATTCACTTGCTAATTCACTAAATCCATCATTCATATCATCATATGGTTTAAATTTACAATCTTATACACACCAATCAAAACAATAAGGTCCTAATTTAATTATTTATTACTAGATTTATTTAATCCTTCTTTGCATAATTCTTTCATTCTAGCATAATTAGGTTATTCATCAAATCTTAATCCTTTAGAATGATCATAAATTTATTTTAAAATTGGAGGAATATTAATTTCTAATTAACCTGCAGCAAATTTCTATTTTGCCTCTAATATTTTTAAAAACTTCTCTTATCTAGTTTAACAAGAGAAATTTTGCCATGGTAATTATCCATTATATAAATACAATAAAACATAACACATTGCTTCTAAATCATCTCTTCTACTTTATTCAGCACCTAAATGTGAATTTATACTTGTATATCTTGCAGTTCCTACCATTCCTTTATTATCTGCTTATGGAATATGAATTCCTATTATTAATCTTTTATATTACCTTATTGATCTAAATATGGTTTTGCTAATCCAAAATCAATTAAATAAACTGTATGATGATCTCCATTACTTCCAACTAAGAAATTCTCTGGTTTTATGTCTCTATGAACAAATTTTCTCTCATGAACTGATTCTATTGCAGTAATCAAACAGTAAGCTAATCTTATTATACATGTTTCTGAGAATTTTTCATTTAATTATTTTTTACGTAGTTCTTCCAAATTACCTTTAATATTAATATATCATTTACCTGAACCATAAAATGGCATAATAATTAATTTGTAATCCTACTGTTAAATCAATTAGTAAGGCTGAGGAATTTATTGATTACCTTTCAATTACATTAATGTATTGTATTCTTTAACTAATAATGACTATTGATTTTATTATCTTGTATCTTTAAATTCTACTTTGCATGCATGTAAAGTTTTTGTGATTGTATTATAGATTTTATAAATCTCTCCAAAACTACCCTATCCTGCTTTCTCAACTAATATAAATTCAGCTGGTAATTCAATCTAAGGACTTACAACCTTTTTAACTGGATATTCACTTTACAATCTTACTTTTGGTAAAGTTGTTTACATTATTTTTAAATTAATAATAATAATGAAAATAATTTCATCATAAATATATTACTAAAAACATAGATAATAATAAATATTAACTTCTCTATTATACTTTTTAAATAATAATCTTATTTATTGAATACTAAATATTTAAATTCCATCGATATATATCATAAATTTATAATTACAATAAAAAACATATATTAATATATTAATAATAAATCCATATCCTAATTTTATTTGTATTTATAGGATATAATTATTTATTTCAAAACATTTTAATAATATATAAATAATATTAATTTTCAATATATATAGTTTCTTTTTTGATTATTAGAACATATTATTAATCATTTACAATATTTACACAATATATCAATTTTAATTAAAAAAAATAATTAAATTAGCAATTAACATGAATTAAAAATTTCAAATAATATAATATTATTAAACTAAATCTTTTAAATATGAAAATAAAAAGTACATAAGGCTTCATGATGATAGTTTTGATAATTAATTGTTTTTATAGTGTCTGTACATTAAATATTTTATTTAGGCAATGGATGTCCAATTGGTTGTCGTACATGTGGTTTAATAAATGATTGTTGGACTTGTAATTAGGGATATTACTATGAATTACTCTCTTGTAAAGCATGTAGTAATGGATGTTAAGATTGTTCATCATCAACATCATGTTCATAATGTTATCCATCTTATGTATTGTAAAATAGTAAGTGTAATTTACAATGTTAACAAAATTGTTTAAGTTGTAATACAACGACAACATGTATTACTTGTGTAAATGGTTATTATGCAGATATCAATTAGTAATGTTAGTAATGTACTATACCTTGTTAGACTTGCTATTAAAGTTCAACAAATTGTCAATCATGTAATGATCCAATAGGAATGATTGTAATTAATTCATAGTGTGTTTGTAAAGATGGATATTTCAAGAATTCACTTAATATTTGTTAACAATGTACATCTCCTTGTTTAAAATGTATCGATAATGAAAATAAATGTATGTCTTGCATTACCACATATAATTATTTCTCTGATAGCAATACATGTAAATGTCTTAATGGATAATATGAAATTAATTAAAGTTGTCAAGCATGCTAATTACCTTGTTCTACATGTGAATTATCTGCTTCTAATTGTTTATCATGTATTGATAGTAATTAAACTTTAAATGGATAAAATCAATGTATATGCAATGATGGATTTGTTTAAATAATGACCCATTGTGAATAATGTATTAGTCCATGTGTTACATGTACTTAATCCACTACATTTTGTTAATCATGTATAGACATTAATCATGAATTAATTAATGGGACATGTACATGTAAATCAGGATATTTAAGTCTTGATTCATAAGTATGTTTAAAATGCAATTCTAATTGTATAACTTGTTCCAATAATATTGATTATTGTGATTCATGTGTAGATATTAATAAAGAAATCAATGGACTTCATTAATGTATTTGTAAACAAGGGTTTTATTTTGATCCAAATTATACAATTTGTTAAGAATGTGATAATTCATGTGCCATTTGTGATATTAATATGTGTCTTTAATGTAAAAGAGGATATGGAAAGACAATAGAATCTCTTAAATATTGTTTACCTTGTCATTATCCATGTTTGGATTGTTAAGAGAATGTAGATTTTTGTAATGAATGTGATAGAATAAGTCTATTTTATTTAGAGAATTAAGAATGTAAATGTCCAGATGGTTATTATTCTACAATTGAATAATGTTAAAAATGTTCTAATGAATGTGAGAAATGTTCTTAGACATCTGAATATTGTTTAAGTTGTATTGATTATAATTATTAATTTTTTGAGAATACTTGTATTTGTCCATATGGATATTATATAGATACAGCATTAAATTGTTAATAATGTTAATAACGATGTGAATCATGTTAATTTAATTTTGATTATTGTTTGAGTTGTTCTCATTCATTACAAATATTGATTAATAATTAATGTTAATGTATTGATGGTTATACATATATAATTACAACAAATTAAGAATCAGATAATATATGTCATTAATGTTAAGATATCTATTAGAATTGTTTAGAATGTAATTAAATTTAATGTAATAAATGTTAATAAGGATATTATTAAAATGAAATACAAGATTGTATTATTACTATTTGTGGAGATTAGATAAAAGTTGAAAATGAATAATGTGAAGATGGAAATGATGGATGTTTTAATTGTTAATGTGAATTAGGATGGATTTAAAATGAAACTGGATGTTATTCTATATGTGGAGATGGAATATAAGTAAAAGGAGAATAATGTGATGATGCAAATAATATTCAATATGATGGATGTTATGAATGTTAATATGATTGTAATATAAATTGTTAATAATGTGATTAAGGAGTTTGTTAATTATGTAAACAAGGTTTCTTATTAGATGATAATTAATGTATATCAACTTGTGGAGATGGTATATTAGATTTATCAAAAGAATAATGTGATGATAATAATAATCTACCAAGAGATGGATGTTATAATTGTTTTCTTGAAGATGGTTTCATTTGTTAATATAATGATGAATTTTTATTTTAATCTTGTAATAGATGCTTAGATATCAATTGTATAACATGTACACTTTATAATGAAATTTAAATATGTCAAAAATGTATAGAAGGGTACTTTATTGATTAATACAACAGTTGTTCTTAATGTGATCAAATTTGTATTGATTGCATTAATACATCTAAGAATTGTATCACTTTTGATTATGAAATCTATTAATTAAAGGTATGTAATTAAAGTGAAGGTTACTATTATAATTTTACACTTAAAGATTGTTAATCCATATGTGGAGATGGAATAATTACTAAATAAGAATAATGTGATGATTATAATACACTTGATTATGATGGATGTAATAGTAAATGTTAAATTGAATCTGGTTTTCTATTTGATATTGAAAATAATAGATTAATCAATGAACCATATATTTAAGTAGAATTTAATTAATCTCATAATAATTAATATTCAATTATAGCTGATTAATTTTAAGAATCTATTAATTGTACTGCCACTACTTTAAATATTGAAAGATTCAATTAAACAGAATACAATTTTACTATTACATAAACAGGTGATAATTGTGATATCAATATGATATTTACTAAAACAATTGAACCAATTAATTTAATTCATATTTTTGTCAAATATAAAGGAAATTACAAAAAAAGAATATTAGATGAAGATTTCTAATAAGAAGTTATTATTGTACCTGTAAGATAAATATATGTCAATTAAGAATAAAAAGAATAAGGTTAAAAAATGGCAGCAGCTTCTAAAGCCTTGTCTTCATCAATAGCAGCATTTGCTCCTTTAGCATTGATAGTAGGTGGATTCAAATTTATTTGGGCTATACTTGACATTCTGAGTTGGATGAATAACTTTTATTTCTTAAATGTTAATTATCCTGAAAATGTTAGACTTATTTTTTAATAAGCAGAATGGAGTAATATTATTAATTTTCCATCTATTAATATTTTAAATTAACCATCAGATAATTATTACTTTCAAGCCTAACCTAAGTTTACAGAAAAAGATGTTGATCCTCTATTTTTTAATAACATACAAATAGTTATCATATTTCTATTTCAAGTCATAATTACTAAA